TCAGTGTCCGTAAGTATGGTATGTGCTTTGCACCTTCGGAGTGCAAAGTAATTCTACAAGACTGGTAGGATTCTAATCCTATACTCACCCTGGATGGTGAACAGATAGAAGTAGTCGAGAAGTTCGTGTATCTAGGTAGCTGAATAAGTGCTAGTGGTAGCGTGAGTGCTGAGATCAATTCACGTATAGTGAAAGCCAGAGCGGCTTATGCCAATCTGGGCCACCATTGTCGCCTTCGTGATGTCAGTCTGGCTGTAAAAGGTTGGATCTACAACGCGTCGGTGAGAGCAGTTTTGCTCTATACTTGTGAAACCTGGCCTCTTCGAGATGAGGATGTTAGACGACTCTCTGTGTTCGATCATCGTTGTCTTCGAAGGATTGCTGACATCCAGTGGCAACACCATGTCAGTAATGCAGAGGTTCGGCATCGTGTGTTCGAGCACAGACGGGGGTTGGGGTCCGAGAGATGGTGCTACACAGTGGCTAGAGACGTTATCAGATATGGCTCAGAATAGAAGCAAGTGGCGATCCTGCTGTAATCTTCTTTTACTTTCTTCATAAAAAGTGGTTGTCTCCCTTAACTGAAAGATTTCTCCTGATTGTGCCTTTCCGTTCCCTCATTATTACTATTATTATTACCAATACACTACCTTACACCAATCTCTTCGTCATTGTTCTCTTTTTTACGCTCCTTACCTTTTTTTCCTTTTTCTTCGAATTCTCATTGCTTTGTGTGGCGCATATATATTGGCGCTCTCTTGTACCATTATTTATGTGTTCAAATAAATAAATAATAATCATAGTCAATCTAGACTCGAAGCCACGCTACAGTATCATGCGTTTATAGATGTTTTATCATAAAAATGGAAGTCAAGACACTAAAAGTGAAACAATTAAAAGCTTCACTGTAACTAAAAAAATTTATGTTTACGAAATGAAATGCTTTGAAAACATAATTTCTTTCTGGCAAAAATAATTAGCAGTTTATTCAGTAGTGAATGTTCAACAAAATTTGAAACTGTCCAGACGAATCAGTATATGATAGACATCTCTCCTGGTTATGTTGATTTCAAGTGTATTTACTGTTTCTAAACTCAGTTATGGAATCAGGCACAAAGCAATAGCTAAAAGCACAACTTGGTTTTTTTAGAAAACAAAATAAAGTGTAGATCACTGGGAACATTAGACAAAAGTACTAAAAAGATATTTTCAACATTTCATATATATCAAAAAGAACTTATCAATCCTTCTGTTTTCCTCTAGGTCACCCAATAAAATATGTGTTCTATGTAAGCAAAAAGATACGGTGATTATCCGGTTATTGCTCCAATAATTGGGCATAAGAATAACTGAACAATAACATCTACATAATTTAACTAGTCTATCTCAATAATAATACTATCGACAACTTAATAATAATGATAATATATTCTGAAAATAATAATAACAGAACTTATGCCAGTTTACAGGCATGATCAGCTCGATATGGACAATAATATTAAATATAAAGAACAGATCCATGATATAAGATTGTTTTAAGTTTACTAGTTCAAAAATTGTTTTGGTAGTACATTTTTCACATGCGTCCGCAGGATATTTTTAATTCTTTTTAAGTTGACATCCTGTTGATGCATGAACGGTGCATTTAAAGTCATTTACTGGTCCATAACGAATTGATTATAATCATCTACAACTATCGAAAATAAGACGAAAGAAGAGAGCACGTAACGAACCATCCAGCTCAGAGAACAAAACCACCAAAAGCACGAAACAAAAAAGGCAATAATTACTACAGTAAGTTAATCAGGTTTATAATAAAATATGTTAGGTTATTTTATGATACACTATTCGTATTAGATATTATTCAAATTAGTTAGGGCTGCCAGGGTCGTTTTAGAGGTAAAGTAACTGATGTGTGGGCAAGGATGATAGAAGTTTCGAATTATGTAACCCGTAAGATCTTGGGACTTGAAACCCTGTTTCGAGACCTGTTTTGTGGACAAATTGTAGAAATACCTAAGTTCACTACTGTACGTAACTTAAATAACACCTTATCATTTATGGTAATATCTAAGTTGAGTGATATATTACCGAAGCACATCCGTCCATATTTAGCCGTGTTCATCTCCTGCTGCCATTTTGAGCGCCATTGGGCTATATTGTTAAGCTCCTTACTGATGTTATTTTGTATATTGTTCAGCTCATAAGGAAAAAATTAATACACTACTTTAAAATCATCTACATATAGAAGAGACTTACACAAAAACAATCGTAAATATCATTGATATGAACTAAAATAATAAAGTGCCTAAGAGACTACCTAGTATTACACCAATCCTGATAGGGACAGCATCTGACAAGGAAGAGTTGATTTTGAATATTTGGTGTCAGTGACTGAAAGGATTAAATCAAGCAAGCAGAGAGCTTTTGCCTATTAGAAGCGAGTGGTTATATACATCGAAAGCTTCAGAAATGTCAAAGCGTATCACTGAAACTAGACATCCTCAGTTATGTTGAGTAAAGACTAAATTAAAGAAGTCAAACTGAAAAGTCATGAAAGATCGACTTTTCAGAAATACATGTTTATCGTATGGGCTATGGCTTGAGCAAACTATCGTGCTAGAGTCATCAAGGATTTCTGAAGGTCAAAAATATTATTATTTTGATAAGGTGGACTTATTTGCTCAAACTGACCTGGCAAACAGTCACCTGTTCGTTGGGGTTAAGTTTATAATGAGTAACCTAGTAGTTTGTCTTGCTTATCGAGAAAGTGATAAGAAAGTGTATATCTTCAGATTCAGTATGTAAAACATGTGGAAGCAACTGTGAGACACTGTAGCTCCTTGGAGTCTGTATAATTCTAGGCCTGTTTACACGAAGATTGTGGTGTTCGTTTTGTGCGTCATTTGCTCGGAGTATATTGCTTTAATGTAGAAATTGGGGCAGTGACATGTCGCCAATTTTTCGCAAGTTCACCTTATATGATGTAATGGTGAATCGACTACCTGTTGCCTGTGTGCCCATATAACTATCCCTACGATTGGTACGGTCGAACTTGGTATCAAAGATTATATTTCCCTTGTATGTAATAATTTTGGTACTAGTTTTGAAACCAAACAATTCCGTATATACTTTCTTTCATATGGTTTAGACTTTTTAGTCCCAACAGAATTTTGAAGAACTTTCGCTTTAGAACTAGGCATTTGGGTATGAGCTTCTAATGTCAGATTGGGAGATAACAGATCTGTTTACATGAAGTATACATTGGTTGTCTGAGGTCACTACAGGCTTAAGTGGCAAGTTAGCATCAGTGGGTCCTGCTACTGAGGTAACGGGATCTGTTGTATTTTCTACATCATCATTTTCATTATTGTACGCTTTTACGTAAGCCTTTGATTGGTGGTTGTATCCGAGCGTTCATAAAGTTAGTAAGCGTGCAGGCTAACCGTTGGAATTTCTTCAGTTGTTCGGTTGATAAATGTGAATCGAACTTAAACAGGATAGATGTCTCTAGGCCCCACATCCTTCGACAATAATAGCTTAAGTGGTGATAATGCTTTTTAGTTCTTGCTTAATATTACCATGCGCTGATGAAAAGCTTGCAAGTGACTCCATTTTAGGAGTTATATCACCCAATTGCTAATATATACTGCCTAATTCATCCCTAATATTATCGATGCTAATAGATCTTGACGTAGAACTCGTCAATTAAATTAGAAAATGAGTCATCCAGCATGACGTGTAGGCTGAGTCCGGCCTGAAAACTGTAGTCTTGATAAGGTTACTGAGCCTAGAGCATACGTAATAACAAAGTATTTATCATCGTAAGTACTAGGGCTTTCCGGGCTTTTTCTTTTGATAGGTGACTCACATTGATGTTATACATCATATAATAAGATTCAATAATAACTACATACTTGATATCAGACGTCGTATTGTTGTAACATGAAGGTCACTGTCATACATTTGAATTCCTTATGCAACATCTTGGTTAGTAAATAATTCCCTCCTCTCAAAATCCGTTTTCAAATTCCTATGATATGTAGTGCAGTATTTTTCCCACATGGACTAAGTTGACAATTTTATGAGTACAACTATAATTTCGTCGTTTTAAATACATTTAATGAGTTTTAGTGCATTTATTATTTAAAAACTAGTCATTATTTTAGGCTGCTCCTAGTTGAAGAAAGACTGCAATGTAACAAGAATCTATTTTATATTCACTTTCGATTGCTTGGAAATTATTATGAAAACCAGGTTTGCAAAAATATCTTTATTTAAAATATATGGAAGAATTTTTTATTAGTAATAATAATAATAATAATAATAAAGGCCGGTAAGCAAACTACTCCAATCACAACATGCCTACCACTTATGAAGTGCTATTTGATAATTTATATAAATAGATTTTGCTATATCCCGTAGGCAACATATACTCTACATGATGAAAAACGGTAACTAGGCAATAACATTTGTGTTTAAGAAAAACACTTGTTTGTTTTTATTGTAAAACAATCTGTTTCATATAAAGTTGTTGGTTATTCCTAAGAGGCTTTCGATCTTGGTGATCATAAACATACTTCGAGATTATTATTACCTATTTCAGGCTGGTTACATAAATCTTGTCAGTCAGAAGATTTATCGATCTCCAAACTGTTTTCAACTGATTATGACACTAAAATTGCATTAGATCCTACTTAGTCTAATCTTCTATAGAACCCATGTTAAGTCATTTTTGAATTACATAGTATTTAACTAACGAAATGGAAACAGGTTAGACATGCTAAGTGAAGTTTACTTTTTATGTAAAGCTATATATTAGCTAGACCACTGGAACTACGATTTGGAAGTAAAATTTTATGTGATTGACAGTTTGTTCGGACCGTTCAAGCACTACTAGTTTACGCATGTGCACTGTTTAAGAGTGGAAACAACTGAAGGGATAGATATAAAAATAGCTTTTATTATACACAATAAATACAGCTGTCTCGGTGGTATACAAAGAAATTAAAGCATTGTCTTCATTGATCACACTAATTTGTTACATACATTTGCAAACAGTAAGAAATGAATATAAATGAATTTAAAAGTCTCCATTACACAATGGCGGTTTAATAGATGCACGATATACGCGACCTTCAAATATTGGATGTGAATCATTTTGATTTTGTTGCTGCTGTGATACTGATGAATCTTGAGGTAATATGAATTTGAGACGTTTACGCAAACTTGGTCGAAGTTGTGGCAGTAGTGGGCGAACTTGATCGAGCACCCCATTGCCTACGTACATATATTTAATATGATACAATAAATCAGCTATTGTATCAACATGTACTAATGGTATACCGGTTTCCGAAGGTAAATGTTCGCCTAGTTGTTTTGAATTACTTATATCCATTGAAATTTCCGAATCACTGGAGTTTTGATAGTTTGATTTAGCTAAAATAGTATCAACTTTCCAAACAGCTCTGTAAAGTTCTGCAGTTAACTAAAAATAGAAAAATTATGAAGCATATAGGATAAACTAGTTTTGATATAAGTTAGGTGAGTATGAGTGAAGTCACCGGAAATTACATGATGTCTGATAGTGAACTAATTTATTCAAGGGGTATTAAGTAGTCTACTGATACGTTGCAGAAAAAAATGACATACTATATCAAACTCAGTAATCGGCTACAGGTTCACCCAGTCCGTCTACGTCATACTTCGAGTGTATGAGAGCTAGTGATAACTGCTGACTGCTCATATTAGAAGCAGGTCAGTATAGCTAGGTTATTTATATGTGCCTTAGTGGATAATAATTGAAAAACTCAATGAAACAACGTACAATGATCTTTTTATGATGTCATTTGGAAATATTCGTTATCAACCACAACTTTTTAGCAGTAGAGATTACAATTCTAGAAAGTCGAAAAATTCTATCGATCGGACGAGCGGGAAGAAGTAATGAGCAAATGGTTCCTCGTAGAAACAATAATTTTTTAAGTTGTTGCAGATCATCAATTCACTTATGATTTCAATACACAGGTAATCGAAAGTGAGAATTATTCATTATCTTTTCTATATTTTCTTTTTTAAAAAGGTATTGTATAAATGTGAGCTACAAAGAGATAACACCTCTACAACATATTTGATGCTATCCTTAATAAAAATAGATATAATTCATGCAAAAACATCTTTCTACTTAAACATGGTGTATTCCGTAAACAAATCACAATAAAAAACAAATACTTACATCGACTAATTTTGCTGGACGCTCTGAGTGCAAAGATCCCATTAATGGTGCAACCAGATAAAATGCCATCAGTAGTTGAGCTTCATTGTGCAATTCCGGTAAGATGAGATCTGAGAAAATGCTTTTAAAAATTGAATGAGAATTAGGATGCTGAAAATTATACACATATAATAAAAACTGTAAGTATGTTGGACAAATTTCACCTGTAACTCTTCTACGGTTACTGCCAGTCCCAAGCCCGGATAAAGGAGGAGGGTTGGGCATGGGGTCAGCAACCTCATCCCGTAGAAAACAGACTTTAAAAAAAACACAAATTGTATTGGATAAGTTTACTTTAATGTTAGTAAAACTGGATGAAAAACAAGCAATCATAAAGTAAACTCCATTAAGTAAAAATGTCGTAGGAAGACGAATTGAGAGCTAAAAGTACGATCTAAAAACATATAGCATAGCGTAAAAACATGAATTGAAAGGAATTAGTGTTCAGTACTAGTTTGAATGAAGTACACAAGTACCATATCAATTAAGTAGATGTAAAATAATCCACTGATAAATATTAAACGGATTGTTTTTATTTAAATATTTACTGGTTTACAAAATATTTCCAAAATAGCTGGAAAAATATACAACCAAAATGTTACTACGAAATGATGGTCAATTTTTACCTAACACACGTTAACACTTCTGATGAGTAAATTGGGAATGAAATCACCAGTCAGATTACAAAAATAAACATCAAATATTGTTTTTAGAGTAAATAGTTTCAACTCGCTTTTGCAAAAGACAGAAAATCAAAAGGTAGTTTGCAAATCAAAGCTATTCTAAACATGTAGTTTCGATAGCTTAGCTACGTTTAGGCTCATTAGCATATAATTTTATCAGCTGTCATTTGACTCGCGAAATCATGCAAAACACAGCAGAGAGAAGCACAGTTTTTATTTTCATCTAGAGCTCATAATCTCAAGGCATATAATCAACATATCTTGATCAAAATTTTGAAGTTTTGCCATTATACAATGATAACAGCTAGAAAGCAATTGAAGAATAACCTGGGATTTACAAGATTATATATTGAGAATACCCAATTTGTAGAGTTAGCCAGCTAGGAAGTGAGATGAATGACAGTTACGCCATGTCGCGAAGTTAGCAATGTCTAACCAATGGCATCTAAGTAGTGTATACTACTATATATAGTATCCTGATGACACCTATAAATCAATACTGTATACGGTCTAAGTGAAACTAATCGCATTTCTTCGATTCGATTCACAATCTTTAAAAATTAGTGTACATACTAAGTAACAATTCACGTCCTTTGGTTTAGAAATATTTCCGAGATAACTACAACCAATTTTATTTTCCGGATACCATAGAACGAAATATCGTGTTGATATAATGAGCTAAGAGGTCTACATACCACTGCCTGAGAAAAAAAATCGATTTAGAGTGAAACATTAAAGAACCTTTAAACTGATTAGCTACCTTTACAACTGTAACTCATGAATGATACAATAAGAAATTCAGCCTTGTTTGACAGTTTTGTGAGCACAATCTTGCGCGTAAATGATAGTTTCGTTTTCTTATCATGTGTGCTTGTTCAGTTGATCAGTGGTTGTCTTCTGATATGCACACCATTACAGCCATAGGTTCGGTTTCGAAAACAATCATTCATACAACCATGCCGGTCATCCTGTAGTGGCTTTGCTTCGTTAATCAATCACCCTTGTGACCGTTATTATACAAGCCTCAACGATGTTTGAAATCGCAAGGCAATGAAAAGCGGCGACTACAAAATTGGTGAGCCTGTAGAGCAACGGTAGCGCGTCTGACTCCAGATCAGGAGGCTGTGTTTGAATCATATCGGACTCACCACTTTTTTGGCCCGGGATCTGGCTCCAAGAAAATCGTAACTTCTTTCGTGAGTCGGGTAACGGATAATCTCCGATGGCATCGACCTTTGCTGAGATCGATGTAATACTATGTGACCTAGGAACTGTAAGGATCCCTTTCCAAACTTAAGCTTCTCGGCGTTTATGGAGATGGCATGTTCTCGCAGTCGCATGAATAGTTGTCGTAGCTGCTCATCCGTAGAGGCGCTGACTACTAGTAAATCGTCGATGTACGCATACACTTCACGTAAACCTCTGATGACCTGGTCAATAAATCGTTGAAATGTTTGCGCTGCATTAGTCAATCCGAAAGGCATGCCCAGAAGTTCATACAACACGAATGTGGTTGTTACTGTTGTTTTTGGTATGTCTTGCGCCGCTACAGGAATGCGATAATATCCTCTAACTAGGTCCATCTTCGAAAAAACAGTAGCGCCTTCCATATGGTTGGTAAAATCGTGAATGTGAGGTATAGGATATATGTCGGCTACTGTTTGTTTTTTATGTGCTCGATAGTCTCCGTACGGGCTAATTTCTTCATTCTTCTTCGGGGCCATGTGTAACGGGGATGCCCACGGGCTGCTCGAAGGCCTTACAATTCCTAGTCTCATCAGCTTTGTTTCGCAATTTTTAATATTCTCGGATCCAACCTTCTTGGCCCGTTTGCTATAATGTGGTGCTGAATGAAGCGTTTGAGATCCGCCTTACTGTACGTTACTTTCACGAGTTCCAGAAACTCTGTTAACAACAATTTACATGGATCACCGCGGCTTTTGTCTATCACTAGGTTCATGTAAATGGATTCCGTAAGTGTCCCTATTATCAAAGTGATGTGGTTACCGTTTATAAGTCTGTGACGCCGTGATTCTACCAGCAGATCGGAGTTACACAGCAAATCAAATGCGTGGAATTTTCGAAACTAGATTACATCGTCGAAAATTATTTCGTGTTCGTACGTCAAGGTTACCAATTATATATATATATATATATATATATATATATATATATATATATATGAATACATTATGTGAAAGATAGGCTTACCCAGGTAACGATGCTAGATGTGATGTGTTAGCATGTGCCCAAATTGAATGCCATAAATTAGCTTTAATCAGGTATTCCGTCACATCGGACGAAAAGTCCGAGTTATTGAAATTGTCCTTCAGAGTTTGGTTTGCTTCAGCACTTTGATGTGATATCTCAATAGCACTACAGCCCCCATTACTAAGTGTATCGACCAAATCAGAGTCTGTTTTCTGATCTAATGGAAGATATTTTTCGAAGAAATGTAAAGCTACTTTTGGTGGTTTTAGCAGTGAAGTATTTCCGTCTTTAAATGATGCACCTTCAGATGTTAAAGTGACGTTATCTACAGAGGTTAAATTAACATCTAGCAATTTTCTATGACGTAAAGCTCTTGATGAACGACGCCACTTAGTATTAGTATTATGATCATTAGTAAACTTTACATCAGAGATGCACGTGAACATATTTTCTGGATCTATTGGATTCGATTCAGGTGTGGTGTCACAAAGAATTGGGTCATTGAATAGGGTGACGCAAAATTTAAACAGAGGAAATCGGTAAACACTCTGAAAATAAAGGGCATTAATTACAAAGAAACGAACAGTAATATGATAATTTTCTGAATTTAATTCAATAATAACCAAATTATGTACGGGCTTAAAATTTTTCTCTGAATACACATAGTTTAGACGAAAACAAATTGTCAGATGACCGTTATGTTCACTAAGTACAACCTCATAAATAATTGTGAACTGACATAAATTTCTTATTTGCATGTCAAAATCTTGAAAATGACATTCAAATTTCCAACTTTAGTTGAGATATGATTTAAGTGACTTAATAACTATATAGATGGTATTTATTAGAGGCTGGTTTTAATTGGGGTATCACTAAAAACATGGAGAACTAGACGACTGTTGAATCATGAACGGTAAGATTGTGTAAAATTCACTGGTATGATTACAAAGCGGACATCTTGAGATCTGAAAGTATTCGGTTCAATCCTAGACGGGGTGCGTGGAGCGCAGTGCTGAGGAGTCCAATATTAGAACGAATCAGATGACCAATGCCCCCTAGTTTATAACAGTACTACAACAGATATCGATGTATGACGAATATCGTCTATAGATTAAAATACTTTCCACAAAACCACTTCATCTAAACTTAATGGACAGCTGCTAATTTATGAGCAATGACGAAGAATAATGACATAATTTCATTACTATTTATTCAAATTCATAGAAACTGAACAGCACAGAGTATTTTCACCTGATAAAAATTAATCAGTGTCATCATTATGTTGCATAAAATAATACAACTAATACATTAACTTGGTAGGCTCAACACGATATTAGTTGATATAAGAGTGATAATGTGAGACAGGTTTTAAAATGTCTGAACTAAAAAGGACTAGAAATCGAATAAAGAAAAGTTTGGCTTTAATTTCCAAGCATGTATTACATGGTTCCTGTTCATGGAAAACAAAAGTGAAAACTTCGCGTACGGTTCCACTGAAATAGATATATCCAATTCAAGGAAAACTGTTTCCTGTCTTTTTATGATCAATTTATCGCTCTTTTATATCGCTGTAATCATACTGGTTTATTCGAGCAATTTTATTTCAAAATAGGTCCTTCTGAATAAGAAGAATGTGTCGCTTGTGTACGTTATTCTAGGTAGTTAGTTAGTCAATTGATTTCCTGGAAAATACTTTTACAAAGTCGTCAAAAACCAAACAGATGTTCAATCCTGAATGTTGGTTTAATATAAAAACAAATTTTCACAACCAAGTTGAAATTCACCCAAATTTAAATTTGAAAATGATTAACTCACAGGTAAAATAACAGCTAGGGCGCCAGTGATATTTTGTAGTTGATTGAAATTTATATGTTTCGCACTAATACAAGGAGAGTAAAATATTTTTTCACATCAATAAAATGAGAGGAAAATAACAAAAACCAGAAATCTCTGGGAAATTGAAAATGTAGTTTGACAAATTATATAAATGTATAGTTCACTACTAGCACTGCCAAGACATTCACACTTCTATTTAACGTGTGAAATTCGTATTTTCAATTATTTGAGTTTGCATGTTTATTGCTAGATGATTCTCGTTTTAACTCCATCAATATTTCAATGACAATATAATGAATTAGTTCATTTTTCTTTAAATTTATTGTTTATTTCCATATATATCAAGGTAAAATTGGTCTTAACTTGCTATCAAATGGTCTGTGGACAAAAATGGATTTTTTTTAACGTCTGTAGAGATGAAGGTATATATGTGAGTGTGTTTACTGTGCAAGTAGTAATGTCACGAGTCGATTCCAAGTCTTTCTTTTTATCAGTCTTTAAATATTTTCCTGTTAGAATAAGACAGAAAGTCAAGCGACAGAATTTAACATTCTTTTATTTCGAGCACACATCTTACCTAGCTAGCATCAAAATAATCATAAATGACTAGGTTTCAAAGTACAACAAATATTTTATTGAAGTTTTAAGAATTTCGTACTGACATTACTACTACCATACACTATAAATTATTTCTTAATCGTTTAGATAAAATCAAGTATGACAAATTTTTTATAAACAATCCACTTTCAATCGACATACATTAGTGTGAAATAAAAATAAACAGATTTTATGCCCAAAACAACTAACCAATTAGTTAGGAAATCAGACACAACTGATGTCAATTCATTAGGCAACATAAAATTGGACATTAGTTCAATTGAGGCAGCATATAATCCTGCAGTTTGAATGCATACGGACTCTTCATAATTCCAAATTCTCCATGCTGCTGAATGCCCATAAATTCCATGTCTTTGGTTGCCTACAATGGAGAAAAAAGTGGATAAATCCATTTTATTAGGTTATATTACATGATAAATTGGATACTTCATATCCACATTAGTTTGTACTATGAAAGTAAGCACCTGTATTTATTTGTTAGCTATGATAAAAAAACGTTTACATCAGTGTAGTTCTATGTTTTTATACAGTCAGCCTTCCTAAGACAATTAGACTTCATCTTCTTTGGATTGCCGAGGCAATAGCCATACATTTTGAAAAACCAGAATTATGTGTACAAAAGAGACTGGTACAACCTCTTCTTCTACTATGGTCTTAATGTATTAAAATTTTCTCTTTCTTCATACTCTTGTTCCCTTATAGCCGCCTCCTTCACCTTACATCTTCCCTTCAAATCTTCTACCCCCAACCGGTTTGTTTTTATTTCCACGATCATTCCGATTACATTTCATCTCTGTTTCAACATTTTATTTTATCATGCTGAGCCATCCTTACCCAATGAATACTTAGGCCATTAACTATCAAACGATTATTAAACTTTCCTTGTTTTATAAAAAAAAATTTTCTAATACCTTTGTTTATTTAACCTTACTGTCACCATGTATAACAAGTTTATTATCAGTATTATTATCACCCTGTAAAAATATGTATATATATTTGCGATTGTACAGCTTTGAAAATGAATTCGCCGAAAAGAGAACTCTTCGCTGAACTAATCTTTTATTCTTATTTAATTTTTCCTTGAAAGGTAAAACAAACGATCTCCCATATATCTTTTTTTTAATTTAGGGACATAGACTGACAACTTTCATTTGCAAACGTTTGTATTAAGGAAACATCAATGCATAGCAGCAACGACGGTAAGACAAAAGCTTATCATCAATAACCTTTCATATACGAAGACAAGATTGATCCCATCTATATTTTAATTCATACAATCTATTTGGAGCGATGACTCAGTGGTCATAGCATATTCCTTCGAACTATTTAATTACTAGCTTAAATTACACTTCGTCTATTTTGAGTCGAACAGTTGAATAATATTACTGCTCGCCACATAAAAAGCTGTCCAAAGCAGAGTATATGATAGTTCATTTAACTAGGGCTTATGAATATATCAACGGATACTTAGCCATTTACTGATTTTCTTTTGCTTGTACCATCAATCACCCATACATTTTAACTGCCAAGAGAGACAATGTACCTTATTCGTATTATTACTGATAATTATATTAATACACGGAACCAGTTTACAGAAAGGTCAAACTGAGGTATACAACAACAACTTTGAGTTTGATCGAAAAGAATTGGACGTGTTTGAAATTCGAAGTCATGGAAACAAAAGTTTACCGTTAATTCCCCATCTATAATTACAGTTAATCAGAAACCTGACTAAATCTATTCCCAAGTGATACGAGCAGTCGAAAATTTTAAACGTAAGTATAAAGGATCGATTTCCACAAAATCCTAAACCAGACGGGAAGATTACTTTCCTAACAAACAAAATTAACTGTATTTTTCAGTCAACAGGAATTCAAAATATGAGTTAGTATTCCTTTAAACTCTTACATGAAACCTGTGCATATTGACTCAAATGCAATAAATTATCAGAATGCTAAATAAACAACAAGGGTAGTTATGTTAGTGTCGCAGACGCGATAGACTTATACATATTTGAGTAACAGTTTTTGAATTCAAGCATGATATGCCCATATTCTAAGTTGTCCGAGTAGAACATCATATTATGAACACGGAAATGTTTACTTACTTTTACATATTGGATCAATCAATCCAAATAGATGTTCCCAATTGTATTTAAATATATTACAGGAATACCATGTCATAAACATTGACCTGAACTGTGTCTCAAATGATTCTGGATTAAGTAAAATATTCACAACAGACCGATCTGTGTTATCATGAACAACATTGCAATCACTAGTAACATTACTGGGATTTCTACATATTACGTCGTAAAATACTTCTGACTGCTTTACACACAACTGAAGATTATTCCACCCTTGTTGTGTAAATATACCATTTACAGAACTACATTGTTGGTCAAAACCTTTTGAAGAACGAGTTAACGCTGCTTTCATAGCTAGCTGCTGGTGTTTACTAATTATGCAGTGAACGAATAACTGACACAATAAACGATCAACAATCCATGGAATTTTGTCAATATCTGATTCAGATGAAGGTGAAGTATCCATAAATTTAGTGGCTGGCAACTGTGAATGATATGCTGGATAGCCTAGATATGATAATTTATACAGTAAACCTTTCATAGTGAATTCGGCATGATCACGTAATAATGTATAGCAGATATTAACTGGACGCCCTAAAAAGTAAATTTTGGAAAGGTATATTTTTATTAAGTGACAAACACTGATTTAAAGTCGAATGTATCTTTACAAATATGTTTAACTCAACAAAACAGTCAATAACCTAACTGATTTGACAAGCGGATCACTAACCTCAATGAATAATCAAAGTTGATGGATTATCAGAAATAAAATTATGGAGATTCCATCAAAGTGAAGTAAGCCCTTTATGTGATTAGTCCGTGAAGAAGTTTTAGACAACATTAATTGTTTGAAGAGGTTTCAGATAACCTGATGTTATACATACACCGGACACCTAAACATTTCAGGTTGGGGAGTAGGGAGTTATGAAAAACAAAATAGCTATTCAGTGCTCTTTGATTTCTTGTTTCTCTAAATTAAATCAATCACTACTGACAAAACACTAAGTGAACATAACGAAGTAATGTGTGATTTCAGTATATATTCCATAACAAGACAATTCTGGGATCGATTTGTATGACTGATGAAAGTTAAAAAATATTAGGAAAACCGTTGATTTTTTTTACCTTTTGGGACAATCTAAACGAATGACCAGTTGTTTCAAGTTCTATATTGATCATTAGGTAAAAATATGAACAGCTTAGATTCTAACTAAACATAACAATTATAGACAAACGGGTAAATATTTACAACGAACCTCAGCTGTATTTAGAAAAAAAAGACTATGCTTCAGTTAAGAAAACAATACCGTATACTACAGTGAAAACCTACTTTTTTTTTAAATACTTCACACATTTTCAGTTAGTTTCAAAAATAGATCAGTCAGTAACAACATAGAACTTCGTAAGTACGTACATCAGTTCAAGTTGCCACACCACATTAGCACAGAAATGCAATTGTCGATTCGAATTCCGTAGTGGTAGAGGTAGTAAAAGTATAAGCAGTATTCAGAAACATTAGGATTTGAAGATGTTATTCAAGGACTATAATCCAGTGAAATAAATTTGGAAAGAGAAAAAAGAAAGGGACATGAAGAATTCAGAAGATTAGAATTTGGGAGAACACAAACAGAGGATGCACCTGTGCCATTGCAAACGATTTTGAGCCATGTCATTCAGGGTATCTAACCATCGGTTTCTATCATCTCGCAGTCCAAAACCAGGTAATCTGCACCTCCCAGCATGGCTCAGTCCACTTGTCAGTGTCAAAAAGTGAATCACCCTGTAGAAGTTCAACCCCTGGAAATCTAGACGAGGAAAGTGTTATCTCTAAAAGTACATCGACGACAAAGTTGAACAAGAATGGAGAGAGTGAACAGCCCTGACGAACACCACTTGAGGTAAACAATTCTGATGACAGTTCGCCATAAGCTCACCCTACCAGTTGTGTTCGAGTAGAGAGCCTTTATAAGGTTAATGTACTTCTTTGGTACTCCTTTCAGTGACAAACACTGCCATAGAACCTCACGATCAACAGAGTCGAATGCCGCCTTAAGGTCGAGAAATACTACCATTGTGGGGCGTCTGAATGTGTGTCTGTGTTCTAGAACCTGACGTAGTGTGAATATTTGGTCTACACAACAACGTCCAGGTCGAAAACCAGCCTGATTTTCTCTAGTCTGTTCTTCACGAGCTTTAGTTAGGCGTCGAAGTATTATTGAAGCTAATATTTTAGACACTATATTTGTCAAACTGATTCCTCTGTTATTGTCACAAGAGAACTTTTTTCCTTTCTTATAGACTGGCACAATCAGTGATTGAGACCAGTCAGATGGGATTACGTCCAGTTCCCAAATTCTGCCTAAGACCTCAGTTAATCTCATTGCTAATACTGGACCACCATCCTTAAAAATCCCAGGAGTAAACCTGTCAGGGCCTGCTACTCTCCCTCGTTTCAGATTTCTTATGGCTTTTTCAACTTCGTAACGGGACGGAGGAACTACATTAACTTGCCATTCAAGTTGACTGGAGATCGTGGGAAACCGAAGTGTGGCTGAAGGCCAGTTGAACTGATCCCTAAAGTGTTCTGTCCATCGATTCAATCTCCTAAAGTGAGAATGAGTATTACGTCCAACTTTTTCTGAGATAGATTCGCTAACAAATGGGTTCCTAATACCGGTTTTCATAACAAGTCTGAACAGTTGTCTGTTATTACCTATTGCCGCTGACTTTTCCATCTCTCTTGCTTTCGCTACTCACCACTGTTCGTGATCATTGCGTAGGCTTCTTGTCAGCTTGCGCTTAAGCTAACTTCTCACTATGTAATGTTCAGAGCCAGATGGAATGAGTTTTCGAGCATCTATCAGTGAGTTAGAAGTTGCTGAGAGCCAGTGTTTCTCATTGGTTTACCGTATTAGCAGATATCACTGCTGTTTCCACAGCTTTTCGGATGTCATTCCACGCTGCCTCAAGGTGGGCATCACATGGCTGCCTAACTGTTTTCCTAGTTGTTCCTGAAATATATTCTTAGCTTGACTATCATTAAGTAGGGCCCTAAGAGGTTTCCTTGCAGCGTCTTTCCCACGTCCAGTAAGACGAAGACAAATACGCGCTCGCACTAGAGCATGATCTGAATCTAAGTATATTCTCCAGAATGAGCGACAGTCTTCTACCGAGCACCTCGACCGGTGGCTGATAGCAATGCGATCTATTTGGGCCCAATGATGGAACGAATTCGGGAGTCACCATGACAAAAGATGTTTTTCCTTATGCTTAAAGTTAGTATTTTCAGGGTTAGTCGTGGATGCTGTCATCAAGCAGAGAATTTGTCCCTGTTTATTTCATGTGTTGTTGTTTAACTATCTATTTTTGATGCATAGTTACAGATATGAAATTTCCAAGATATGCAAAAGCATGTACAAAATAAGTCTTTCCTCCACAATTAGATGAAATTTATACAAGGTGTTAAGAAAAATATGCTTCAGCTGTCACCCGATTTCCCTTTTAAAAAGAGAGTTGAATCACATGATACAGAATTTCTTGTTTAACAAGCTGTCTTTCTTGATATAATTAACGTTAAAAAGCAAATCTTCTGAAGCTACAATAAGTAGACTTATCTCAATGGCCTTCAGAAACAAAGAAATTCATTGTGTTTAACAGGCTGATTGATTCATTAAAAAGACCCCCCCTCTGAGGCCACTGCCGGTTTCAAGCCCGGATAAAAGAGGAGGGTTGGGCATGGAGTTAGCGACCCCATACCGTAGAAAACTAACTCGCTAAAAATATGATAACCAGAAATAATAATTCAAAACATTTAAACTCTGAGCTGGGAGTTGGAAGGTCTTAATTTAGAAGAGCTATGACGCCTCATGGTGAAAGCCCAGTTCCTACGGAGGTCACGAGGCTGATATCCAATCTGACAACCAGAGCAAACATTAATGATCATGCAATGTGGGAGACAGGGAGAAAATGCCCCACATACACATATCACAAAAGTTCGATACGGCCTTCCTTCAGGATACTAACAAACTCAACAAATTCAAGATAGTCCTCAGCAACAAGTTCCAGGCCTTTCATGATCCACTCAATGGAGAAGGAACTACTGTGGAGAGCAACTGGAAGGGGATCAAAGAGGCAATCGCTTCAACATGTCATGAGGTCCTGGGCCACAAGAAGCACCATCACAAGGAATGAATCACTGTTGATACACTGGATATGATTCAAGAAAGGAGGAACAAGAAGGCAGCAATCAATACCAGCCGAACAAGAACAGAGAAAGCCAAGGCACAAGCTGAATACACAGAAGTAAACAAGCAAGTGAAGAGGAGCATTAGAACTGACAAACGTAAATATGTGGAAGATCTAGCAACGATGGCGGAAAAGCCTGCAAGAGAAGGAAACATGAGAGAACTGCATGACATAACAAAGAAACTCTATGGAAATCACCGTAAACCGGAGCAAACAGTGAAAAGCAAGGAAGGCAAAGTAATCACCAACATTGAAGAACAACGAAACAGGTGGGTAGAACACTTCAAAGAACTTTTGAATCGACCAGCCCCACTGAACCCACCCAACATCGAAGCAGCACACACGGACCTCCCAATCACTGTTGGTCCACCAGCAATCGAAGAAATCAGCATGGCCATCAGACAAATCAAGAATGGCAAAGCAGCAGGACCAGACAACATTCCAGCAGAGGCACTAAAAACATACGTAGCGGTAATTGCAAGGATACTCCACATTCTCTTCAATAAGATTTGGGATGAGGAACAAGTACCAACAGACTGGAAAGAAGGACTTCTGGTCAAAATACCGAAGAAAGGCGATCTCAGCAACTGTGATAACTACAGCGGCATCACTCTTCTCTCAATGCCGGGAAAAGTCTTCAACAGGGTATTGTTAAACAGAATAAAGGACTCCGTAGACGTCCAACTTCGAGACCAACAAGCTGGATTCCGTAAGGATCGATCGTGTACAGACCAAATCGCAACACTAAGGATCATTGTGGAACAATCAATTGAATGGAATTCATCACTCTACATCAACTTCATTGACTCCAAGAAAGCATTCGATGGCGTAGAGAGGACAAAACTATGGAGGCTTATTTGACACTAAGGAGTGCCTGAGGAGATAGTCAATATCATACGGAATTCCAATAATGGATAAGATGCTAAATCCTGCATGGATGACAGTTGACAAACTCGTTCGAAGTAAATACCGGTGTCAGGCAAGGTTAATTACTCTCACACTTCCTCTTTCTCCTGGTGATCGACTGGATTATAAAGACGTCAACATCTGGGAGGTAGCATGGGATATAGTCGACATTTGGGATGCAGCTGGACGATCTAGACTTCGCAGATGACTTGGCTCTTCTATCGCACACGCAATAACAAATGCAGAAGACGACCAGTGTAGCAGCAGAGGTCTTAACGTACACAAAGGGAAAATGAAGATTCTCTGATACAATACAGCATGCACCAATCCAATCACAATTGAAGGAGAAGCTTTGGAGGATGTAGAAACCTTTATGTATCTGGGTAGTATGGGAAAAATTAGTGAAACATAATTGGTTATTAAGTCGAAAAGTATAGATTTAGTTTTTCTCTAAAAAATGTTAACTTACTGTGATAACGAAACAAAGGAGCAACAGCTCGGCAAAATGGTATCAATAGAACAAATGGAACTTCACACATTAAGAACTGCATTATTACAACTTCTAACAATGGTAGCAAACGTAATAACAAGTGACCATAGAATACAGGTAAATAAGGAGGTTTGTCGGTTTCATCTGATGGATCGTTACTAGTATTAGAAGATATTGTACAAGTCTTTGGATACGTAATCCATTGATCAGGAATAATTTCATGCAAAGCACGAATACACGAAAACCAATCCCGACTAGACAATGGGTCAGAATGAGGTGATTTTCTCAGTGTACTTGAATCGCTATTAATGGAATTAGCCTACATTAAAAATCAAAGAAATGTTGAAAATAGTTTAAACAATTTAAAATATGTACATACAAGCGAGACTTCATTTTTAACATCCACTAATACAAATGTAAATAGTATAAATAAAGTCGGACAAAATTTCGCTTGTAAATATAGAACTTTAGTAAGTACGATTAACAGTCTAAAATTGTTTAATGCACACTTAACATTTGTTTATATTATTTTACACGTATCTCACATAGTGTATGATGTAAAGACCATGTAATAATAACGGTAGATTTAGGAAAAAACCAAGTACTTATAGGAACAATAAACAACAGCCCCAAATGCCCTGGTACAGTCAAGGATGAGGAGAGTTTGCTCTCCCTCTCGAAATGCTCTCACATGGCCACGTATATACAACCACTGCCAGGGAAGTCCTACTCACTGCCTTCTCGTGGCGGGACTGTTGTTTACGAAATTGAGAGGACGAAAAGCGAATGTCCGGCGCTTTAACGGGTTTGATGGATGTGGAGGATCCACCTAGGAAGTTGGAAAACCCTCATTCAAAACCAATGGTGCACATGGGCTCCAGTACCCTCAGGGAACAAATGGCGTATGAACCAACTATTGGTCACCGGCTACCATGGGACTGCATCTCCTCACGATGCTTCACTGCCTTGTGGATTAGATCATTAGGTCAAAGGCTCAGTATGTGGCCCCCTAAGAAGACCACCTGCTTCGGTTTGAGCACCCGGACAGCATCACAGTCCACACACAAATCAAGTGACTCGTGTGGCGCATATGTATTCGGTACCCCTTTGTACCAATATTTATGTGTTCAAATAAATAAATAAATACTTATACAATGACATTATAATTCAGAACATAATAAAAGTAGAGCAAATTTTTCTCAAAATCATGTATAATTTGACATCATTACATACACACCCTCCCATATGTGCTCCAACAGATACACTACCTGAAATCCCTAGCTTCTTTTTCTGCCCTGAATAACAATAACATTTCATTTAATTCGTGATAAACAAAACTGATCTCTATCAGATCACATATGGATGTAAACAAGTAGATTGTCAGCGGAGTGATCATAACAGCAACAAAGTATTGAACGAAAAATATAAATGAATCTATTCGTTTATGAACTCGTATCGAACAAATTAATGGAACTAAATAATTGTTTCTAATAATCAGCTTCCATACTAGGCACAGTTAAAGTAGCGCGGATGAGGTTTAAGCATAATAATTCAGTAATAAGGTATAAACCGTTATGAAATGATTAAGCGACTAATCATTAGTCTGATCTGTTCTTTCGATTGGCAGTGAGAAACACTGATACGGAAACAACATACATCAAAACAAATAAAAACTTTTCATAGAAAAAAGAATGACCTCATATTTTTTATCCAAATAGTTTATCCCATTAGTGATTTGCTCCGATTGTGTAAACAGATAAACAATGATTCGATTTACAGTAAAGAGTTGTGAGTGTTGGTATCTTGTATGCATGAGCTATTGGAAATTGAAAGAAAGAAATGACTATATTTTTATCAAAGAAATTATACATTTTAAGTATAAATCTCCATAGAAAAACTATTTACTTATAATCTAGTTATAATGGCGGTAATCAAATTATGCTTTTTAGGCGATAATGATGATTCAGTCATTGAAAAAACCGTCCTTTCCAGATTGGCCATAAATCAATCAGCTAAGAGAGGGTCCAGTGGAAACTCCATCAGTTTGTCTATAGAGATCATTGTTACATTTGAATTGCACATTTAGATCTCAAGTAAGACGAACGATGAGTTCATTACCAATTGTGACCTCTACAAACATCTCAGACCATCTGGTTCTGCTATACCAAGACTATACGGACTATCAAAAGTTTATAAAAATGATGTTTCCCTACGTCCCATACTTGATACGAATAACTCTCCATATCATTTGATTGGTAAATGATTAGATGGAATTTTACAAGCTGCCAGAAATCACATTAAATATATACAGCTCTCTTGATTCATTTTGTTAATTCAATTAGAAATACCAATATAAATGGTAGCAAAAATGATCTCATTGCATGTCACTCCTCCCTTTACAAATGTTCCACTAATAGAAACTATATGCTTTTTTATGTGACTATATTGAAAATAACAACTTTGATATTTGTATCCCAAAACTTCATCTAAAAAAGCTACTTCTAACTTGTACTGTCAATGTATAATTCAGATTTAGTGATTTCCATTTGAAAAAAACTGATGAAGTTTACTCACAAGTCAGTCATTAAAATATCAGAATGCCATTTCACTTTCATTACCAAGTATTTCTCATTACTTTCATGGAAAACAAATGACTTCTGACTTCTAACATAATATGTATCCAGTAACGAGTCTTCAGACTCTACCTCACTTACTAATAAAAACACCATCAGTAGAAGTGGATCGAAATCCTGGTCTAGAGTAGGGTACAAACAATGCTAACACTCTTCCAACACAAAAAACACTAATAAACTAGAAATATAGAATAAGTTGAATATTTGATTCAACAACAGTACAATGTCGGATGTGCTTTACAACCGAATATAGTAATCCTAAACGCCAATCAATGGGTAGAATCATATTAATAGGAGTAGTAAACTTTGGATTTAATTGAAAACGAAAAATATTTCAAGTAATTATAGGTCGATTAGTGAAATGAATAAATTTGGCTCCAACTATATCATTTATACAAAATAAGAAGATATATATAAATTGTTTCATAAACAGCAAACAGTGACAGATTTGCAACGTATCAATTGTTCTTTGAAATGAGCAACGAAAACTGGTCAAACTGACACACCCGACTAAGTAATCTGCACAGTTTAGCTTGTTTCACTAACTAACAATAGATTAAATGCCTGAGTCCAATTTTATTTACTAATTATATAAAGACTATGAGTAAAATTCACACATGGTCAATTTTCTATGACAAATTTCTCAAAAACCTAAAGTTAATGAGTGAATTATCTCGTATTTTTCATACAACCAAAACACTGATTAATAAATGAACACCAACACTTTCATTTAGTAGTATTGAAAAAAGCAATCCTAATAATTCCTTCTGCCACAAGAGCTTAAATATAATGGATCAAAATAACAAAAAAGCTTACCAAGAACAATAGAAATCGATCTAACGAAACAACACGCCAACGTACACAGAAATCTGACAATGTAGAAAGACACTATAACAGAGAAACAAACATGAACGTTTAACTTCTAAACTGGAAAATCAGCAAACAAAATAGTAAACGGAGTTAAATACATAGATAAATTATCGAGGCATCAGAACATCATGAACAAAGCTTCATTTAGTTTATTTGGAACTGGTAAGTAGTGTCTTTAGTCCACAGACAAACAAATCAGTAACTTTTTATCAAATGTATTCTTAAAATAAAAAGATAGCTTTCTAGTGAACACATGCAAAACAGATGAAACGATAAGTAAACATCTGTAAAAGTTATTTCAGCATTTGGTTTATCCTCGATTGATTGTAATACGTGAAAGAAACGACTGATTATGTTGGAGAAAACGTCGTTCAAATGAGAATTATTCCAAATATCTAGTTGAATTGAACTTGATCAACGAAAAGACAACAGATAGAATATATGTAAGAACAAAGAAAACATGATGGAATATACAAAAAATAGAAATTTCGTTTTAAATAAGCAAGAACAATTATTTCACAAACTATGAAGCTCCGATTGATTTAACTAATTTAAAACAATTAGTCCCTTTGATAAATTTCGATAATGCAATGAGGAGACGTAGTTTATCAGAATTATGTGATATATTTGCGCAATACATTTCGAACAATCTGATCACACATATACTTGTTAAGAACATTTATATATGAAAAATTAAAAGGTCAACTAGACAGGTTAAGGGTAAGTCATAACAAAGGAAAAATATTAAAGTACACAAAAACAAATGTTTCATACACATAGTTCCCTTTATTATTTTAAAGAGAGCAAGAACAAAGATTGGTGCAGAATGATATGAATTCATTTTATTTCGTTAGGTTCTCATCAGCTGCTTACAACCTAAAATATTTAAAATTCAACATTATTACAGATATTGACATATTTATACATAAGAGTGTGATTAAGGATCAATACATGTGTATCATGATGTAGCAAAGATTCAGATAGAGTTAATGAGCTCGTAAAATGTTTGATTTGAATAAATAAATCAAGTTAGAGAGGGAAAGTTCCAGAACATTGAAATAGTGATTAGAACTCATGAAAATAGATTAATGGTAATAAAGAAAATATGAATTGAAATCAATCAGTTATGTATGATGTAATTTATATTTCAGAAAGAGTTGCAATAATGACGTAATAAATAAATAAATAGGAGCAAATTAATAGAAAGAGTGCGGGTTATTGTTACCAGGGTAAAGAAAGATTTATTACTGTCTCTTTTTGTATACATAGATCTGGTTTTAAACGTTTGATTGCTAACGCTTCAGCGAATTTCAAAAGGTTCGAGTTTGATTGTTTGTTAATCACCTTGAAGGACTTCAGTATATCAGCTTTATGTCCTGTATCAAGGAGATGTCTGGCGATAGCACTGTTGAATGCGTTCAATCCATTTAACCTTAAACTTTTCGGAATATGTTCTTTGAATCGGACGGTCAGACAAAGGCTCAAGTGTTGTTCTAATGAACAAAACAGATTATGTTTTTAAGATGAAGTCCATCTTGAATGACCATATGAGATTCAAGTTAGAGAAAAGTAACAAAGACTTAACTGATTCCATTGAGAAAAGAATCACCAAAGTACTCAGAGATCTTCTGAAAAAGAAAATGATCGATAACTCTACTTACAATAATCTACGACCTCGTGGGTCTCGTTTGCCCCACATGTATGGATTACCGAAAATACATAAACAAGGTTATCCTCTTAGACCTATTTTGTCAATGATCAATTCACCATACCACAAAGTTGCACGATGGTTGGCAGATAAGTTAGAACCAGTGCGTCAACGATTAGCCACCTATACACTAAAGGATTCATTTGTATTTGCTGACAGCATGAATCACATAAATATTGCCGGTAAGTTTATGGTTTCTTTTGATGTAACATCTTTGTTTACAAAAATACCACTTCTTGAGACCATAGACATAATTTGTCAACATTCTGACATCCTACCTCTACCAGTACCAGAATTCAAACGACTATTACTCATTTGTACAAAAGATGTTCAGTTCCAGTTCAACGATATCATATACAAACAAATCGATGGTGTAGCGATGGGAAGTCCGTTAGGTCCTATCCTAGCAGATATTTTCATGGCTAACCTCGAAAGAACCAAACTCAAACGAGCGATTGATGAAATGACGTATTATTCGAGATATGTTGATGATACCTTCATCGTATGTAATAATAAACAACATGCAATAAATCTGCTAGAGTTTTTCAATGAAGCACATCCGAATATCCATTTCACTATGGAACATGAAAAAGAAAACAAGTTCCATTTTCTCGATATCGCGATGAAAAGAAGAAAAGATGGTACAGTTCAACGTTCAGTTTATAAGAAAGACACATGGAATGGTAGTTATCTTAATTTCAATAGCTTTTGTCCAATCAGTTACAAAAAGGCACTGGTCAAAACACTGTTTTACAGAACAGAAAGAATATGTACTTCCGATACACTAGAAGAGGAAGTTATGAATGTTAAAAAATGTTTAAAGAATAACGGATACCCACTGAAATTTATTGAGAAATACGGCAAATGTGAAGTTAAAAAGCCGAAAGAAATTACAGCAAATAAAAAGCCTATTTTTATTAAACTTCAATTCAAAGGTGACGATGTCACAGGATCAATCAATATGAGACTAAAAACTGCACTGACAAGAACTTATCCTGCAGCGAAATTGATTGTCCTGTCCAAAACAACATGCTCTTTGACACAATCAAAGGTCGATAGGTATCCCTTTCATGTTACCACCAACTGTGTATACAAATTTACATGTACCTGCCAAAGCAGTTACATTGGTAGAACAGAAAGGAGAGCCTACGTCCGATTCAAAGAACATATTCCGAAAAGTTTAAGGTTAAATGGATTGAACGCATTCAACAGTGCTATCGCCAGACATCTCCTTGATACAGGACATAAAGCTGATATACTGAAGTCCTTCAAGGTGATTAACAAACAATCAAACTCGAACCTTTTGAAATTCGCTGAAGCGTTAGCAATCAAACGTTTAAAACCAGATCTATGTATACAAAAAGAGACAGTAATAAATCTTTCTTTACCCTGGTAACAATAACCCGCACTCTTTCTATTAATTTGCTCCTATTTATTTATTTATTACGTCATTATTGCAACTCTTTCTGAAATATAAATTACATCATACATAACTGATTGATTTCAATTCATATTTTCTTTATTACCATTAATCTATTTTCATGAGTTCTAATCACTATTTCAATTTTCTGGAACTTTCCCTCTCTAACTTGATTTATTTATTCAAATCAAACATTTTATGAGCTCATTAACTCTATCTGAATCTTTGCTACATCATGATACACATGTATTGATCCTTAATCACACTCTTATATATAAATATGTCAATATCTGTAATAATGTTGAATTTTAAATAATTTAGGTTGTAAGCAGCTGATGAGAACCTAACGAAATAAAATGAATTCATATTATTCTGCACCAATTTTTGTTCTTGCTCTCTTTAAAAAACAAATGTGATTACCACTCTGGACAGTAAATCAGTACTACCAGGGTAGGTTAAGTGTAAGTACAAATTGTTTTTGAACACATAAAGGGGGTTTCAATTTTCGTATAGCCAAGGCTTCAATAAACCTTAGTATACGTCCTTGAAGGCTTTTGTACAACACAACAAATGCTGATTTGATATCAACCTTATGACCCGTCTCAATCAAATGTTTCGCAATGGATGATGATGTCTGTCTATCCTGTGGTCTTATTTCACCATTGGAATTCATCTGATTTTGCAACCATTTTGGTATATGTTCACCCACCCTTAACTGCAAATCACGATTGCTCCTCCCTACGTACGTGTTTCCACACATACATGTAAATTTATAGACACAATGGGATAACTAATGGGGTAACTAACCTTTTCAGTTGTAAAATCCACTTGTGCAGTGAATGTCAAAGAAGACACTATGTAGTCACAAAGCATACGAATTTGTCGATTGAGAAATTTGGCAGACATATGGTGTAAAAGACTAATTAAAATAAACAGAAACAGAGTTTAAAATAGCTAATTAGCTTGTAAGCATTCAATTATATATATATATATATATATATATATATATATATATCAGTTTTCATAACATAATAGTTGAATAGCACGCAGATATTAGCCAAGTTGATACGCGGATTTTGCGAACCATATCAAAACATCTTGAATACTATAAGAGAATCTGGTTAACTTTTGGTCGAATTCACCAACTGCATAGTATATTTTGATGCCTTGTGGAACAGTCAATATCATGGACCACAACTGGTGTGCTTAGCCATTGAATTAAAGTTATTTGCGTGGGTGACTTATGAATTACCTACGAAAAAATTCAACCTAATCGACTCAGTAAATTTATAGTGTGAAATGCAATAAACCGGTTGAGAGTAGCAAGCTATCATAGGTGTAGTTACCATTTCTAATGTATATAGAAAATACAGCATAGAATATAAAACGTCTACATGCCTGTCACAAACTCGTCAAAATCATTTACAACTCTATAAACACCTTCATTGAACCAAATAATTGAAATAAAGTGATTGAAACAGATATTTTATAGGAAATCAACAAGGTAACTTAAGATTCAAAATCTACTATAAATAACCAACTAACCTGATTGGTTTGTTCGGTATATTTTGATATTCCATAAAATACCGAAACAATAAACTACATATCAATAGAAAAAGAAAAACAACAAAGTTTTAAATCGCGAAGAGGAAAGAAACAAAGAAATTCATGTGATATAATGTTAGTAGAAAGATATACATAAAAAATGTATGACGAGCAACTTGGACAATAATAATCATACTTCAAAAGAGAGTGGTTCCAGTATTTAACTGCTGAGTCGTATGATTTATGTCCGCTTTATGCGGGTAGCCAGACAGACCTCATGCGAAAAAACATAAATGAAAGCCATAAAAATGAATCTATATTTGATTACTGAGTAACATTAAACGAGCCAATAAAACTACAACAGACTAGAAAGAAGGATATATCAACAAGATTCCAACCTGCTCACTCCAAAGAACGGCGATCTGAACAAATGTGAAGACTAAAGAGCATCACACTACTGTCAGTACCACAAAAGGTTTCCAACAAAGTGTTGCTGAATAGGATGAAAGATTCAGTAGACAACCAACGTTAAAATCAACAGGCTGAATTCAGTAACGATAGGTCGTGCACAAACCAAGCTGTAACACTACGGTTCATCGTTGAATAATCGGTTGAATGGAACTTGTCACTATATATCAACTACTTTGACTACGAGAAGGCGTTTGGCAGCATGGATAGGAGGACCTTATGGAACCTTCTTCGACACCATGGTGTACTTGACAAGATCGTTACTCTATTACGGGATTCTTACGACAGACTACACTCTAAAGTCGTGAATGGAGAACGGCTGGTAGATGCATTCCAAGTGAAGACCGGTGTTAGACAAGGCTGTTTATTCTCCCCTTTCCTCTTTCTTCCAGTGGCAGGCTAGATTAGGAAGACCTCCACATCTCAGGAAAAGCACAAAATACAATGAACAGCTTGCATACAAACAGACGATTTAGACTTCACAGACAACCTAGCTCTTCTATACCATAAACGTCAACAAATGCAGGTCAAGACAAACAATGTAGCAGCAGCCTCTATATCAGTAAGCCTCAACATACACAACGGAAAACACAAGATCCTCAAATACAACACAGTGAACACCAACTCAATCACACTTGATCGAGAAGCTCTGGAAGATACGGAATCTTTCACGTACCTGGACCTGGACAGCATTATCTATGAACAAGGAGGATCTGATGCAGACGTAAAGGCAAGGATTGACAAAGCAAGGATAGCATTCCCACAACTGAAGAACATGTGCAACTCAAAACAACAGTAAGCCAGTATCAATGTCACAATCTTCAATACGAATGTCAAGACAGTTCTATTGTACAGAGCTGAAACTCGGAGAACTACTACAACCATCATCGAAACAAAGCACAGATATTTACAAACAATTGACTACGCAAGATACCTAATGTCCGTTTGCCGGATACCATCAGCAACAGCCTACTGTGGGAGAGAATAAACCAGCTTCCAACTGAGGAGGAAACTAGGAAAAGTCGTTGGAAGTGGATAGGACACACATTGAGGAAATCATCAAACTGCATCACGAGGCAAGCGCTAACTTGGGTTCCTAAAGGGAAACGCATAAGAGGAAGGTCAAAGAACATGCTGAGCCAAGAATCCGAAGCTGACATGAAAAGGATGAATAACAGCTGGAAAGGATTGCTCAGGACAGAGTTGGATGAAGAATTATATTTCAGTAGTCTACACACAAACATTGAAGAAACAATTTTACAATCCGAGTTGTGTTTTACATCTATTATGTGCAGACAAATACCAACAATGACTAATCAAATGATTAAATAAAAAAGTCCGAATGAACGATAGAGCAAACACCTAAAAAGCCACGTTACATATAGAACAGTTAGGATGAAGCAAGAACAATGAAGGTCACAGAGTAATACGAATCTATTTATTTATACTGTTACTAGTGTTTTTAGGTTGTAAGTATTCGGTAATAATCCATTAAATAAATGAATTCCTATTATTCTGCCATGTTCGTTGTTCTTGTCTTATTCAAATTTTAAAGTAAGAAAAGTTGCAGGATATCACATTTAGTTCAGCAGTTAAAAAAGTCAACGAAACTCACCATAAGAACACATTACTCCGACTAACTGCATTGCTCCATTCAAAATTCCCATCTAAAATAAAAATGAAACGAGAACATGAAAGGACATGGAGATTGTCGATGTGTACTTTCTGCACATCTTCTGGTGCCAAAACAATAAGAAATATGATTATCAAAATCATGAAAACAATAGTAGCTATAATCGCTTGATAACCATAAGCAAAGGATAACGATCTTTCTGTACAAATTTAAGCCCACAGAAATACCAACACTGTATGCTAAAAGTAACCATATAAATTTAATTCGTACTTTGTTAATGTTTCCAAAAATGAATAAGAGTACCGAACTGAAGAAAAATAATAAAATTTATTTAACCAGAGCCAAAGCAACCATCACTTTACGTTCTGAAGAAAAATGGGAGAACAAGTCGAGACATTTGAAATAGATAACTAGAGACTTCTAAAAGTAAAATCGAATGCTGAAGGTCTCATGACTCCAAGCGTATTGTAAACCATGATAACATATACTATTCAGGATGGAGGGTTTGTGAGGATTGGAGATTTCTTAATTTATTAAACTGACTAACAGTATCTAGACAACTACTGAAAACCAAGAAGCACTGGAAATCCGTTCCTACTAGTATTAAACACCTCACTAGTATGGACGCATGACCCCACCTATGATCGACCTAGAACTTTCAGACCTCGTTGTGAGAGCACACTGTTTGAACTGGTGAGTTAGCATCTAGCAGTTTATATTTCAAACTCCAATCAATTTGTGATACTGTCCAGCCATCTTCCAAAGCCAAGGTAAATGTCTCATTACGGACGTAGTTGAACTCGATTAATAACGATTACTCATAACAACTCCTGAAATTACCTCTCTCGAGATTAGTGAGCATGATTATTATCGGTAAACAGGATTCTCAGAGATTGTTGAGTTTCCTAGTTCATATCAAGGACTGATCTTAGATAACCAAAACCCACCATACTAATGACAATCATGTATTCAGTAGTGATTAATTTCAAGAAGTATTTTCAGATGTTATAGTAAGAAATCGTGACTAGTGTAGTCTAACTTTGTTGGGAGTAATGATATTGGAAGATAGTTGAGCAATATCGTGAAATATTATTAAATGTTTGGGAAATCTTCATAATAAACCAACATAAATGTTACACATATATTTTGTCTTTTATTGTATTAAATAAAGTAAGAACTTACTAGAAAAACAAGTGTACTCCTCTTGTACCATTGAACAAAGTTTAGATAAACTAGTAGATTTATCTGTATACGGTAAAGTTGATTCGATTGACTCTATATTCATGGGATCCGATGATGGGAGACTACCAATGTTAAATTCACCTGTGTTTGGATTAGTTAACTGACGTATAACAAGAATTAGAAAATCAGGCAAACGTTTTGTGATTAGCTGAGGTAAATCTATCAGACTATTTGGACCACACTGTTCACACATGGAGCGAATTTGTTCAACTAGATTCGGCCGAATTCCACTTGCTTCTTCCAAATCTAGATTAAAGAAAGGAAATATGGAGGATTGGTAAACTGAAGAGGAAACATTCGAAAGCTTTGAATATTAAAATATAATGAAAGAAATCCAAAGGATAGTATTTTTACGGTTAGAATTGATAAAACAGCTGGTTCAAAAACAAAATTGGATAAAAACCAAGCAGAGGAGCAAGGGACTACCACCTAATCCAACTTGCAGTACGCGCACGATAAAATATTATTTGGACCTCACACGGCAAGTGGTTAACGGACAGTTTAAGGCCAACAAAGAGTAGGTGAAACCAATGATGATACGTGAAACATTCTCCATCAAACGACTTCAATTGTTTGAATGGTTCTAAGACTAATAAGTCAAGTGTAAGTGAGATTAATTCGAAAAAAGACGATACTATCATCTGCTCCCAGTCCAGGCGTTTAGAACGATGGGCGGAACATTTTAGGGGACAGTTCAGCTGGCCTTCAGCTACTCTACAACTACCCTCCATTCCCCAGAAAGTGTGAATGGAACATTGAAGTAGGTCTCCCAACTCTAGCAGAAGTTCAAAAGGCTATAGTTAATCTGAAACGAGGAAGGGCAGCTGGTTCAGATGGATCGGCTCCAGAAGTCTTTAAGGATGGTGGTTCAATTTTAGCGATTAGGTTGACTAATATTTTAGCAAAGATCTGGGAGTTAGACGTTATTCCATCTGACTGGTCACAATCACTTATCATCCCAATATATAAGAAAGGGTCAAAATCATCCTGTGACAACCACAGAGGGATTAGTTTAACCAATATAATATCTAAAATACTAGCCTCGATAATAATCAGACGCCTAACTAAGACTCGTGAACTGCAAACACGAGAAAATCAGGCTGGCTTCAGACCTGGTCGTGGCTGCATCGATCACATATTCACTATTCGTCAGGTTCTAGAACACAGGCATACTTATCGACGTCCGACAATGGTGGTCTTTCTCGACTTAAAAGCAGCATTTGACTCGGTAGACCGCGAAATTCCGTGGCAGTGTCTGTCATTGAAAGGCGTACCCCAGAAGTACATAAACCTTGTGAAGGCTCTTTACTCAAACACTACTAGTCGAGTCAGAGCTTATGGCGAACTGTCATCTACTTTTGCAACCTCAAGTGGTGTCCGTCAAGGCTGTCCACTTTCTCCATTTCTGTTTAACTTCATCATAGACCTACTGATGGAAATAACATTCTCATCGACTGAATTCTCGGGTATTGATCTCCTTCCAGGAGGTCCACTTATCGACTTAGAATACGCGGATGACATAGTCTTGTTTGGTGAAGACGCTGATAGAATGCAGAGTCTTTTGGTAGCACTGAGCAACAATGCCAGAATGTTTGGAATGCGCTTCTCTCCCTCTAAATGCAAGTTGTTGCTTCAGGACTGGCCTGCGTCAACACCTGGACTAAAGATAGGGAGTTAAGTAGTCGAACGCGTCGACAACTTCACTTATCTTGGAAGTCTGATCAGCCGTAATGGGCTGGTATCGGACGAAATCTCAGCACGGATTCGAAAAGCTCGTTTGGCTTTTGCCAACTTATGTCACCTGTGGCGAAGGCGAGATATCCGTCTATCAATAAAAGAACGAGTATACAGCGCGGCAGTTCGTTCTGTTTTAATTTACGGCTGCGAAACATGGCCTTTAAGAGTAGAAGACACCCGCAAGCTACTAGTATTTGACCACAGATGCCTTAGAAATATTTCTGGCGTCTGTTGGGATCACTGGGTAAGTAATAGTGAGGTTAGACGCAGGGTATTAGGTAATGATGGTAAATCAATTGATGAGGTTGTTAATCTTCATCGACTGAGATGGTTGGGTCACGTGTTACGTATGCCTGAACACCGATTACCACGTCGTGCAATGCTAACGGGTGTTAGAGATGGTTAGAAGAGAATTAGGGGCGGCCAAACCAAAACGTGGCATCAGTGCTTGAAGACACTAACCTCTAATCTGAGCCATGTTGGTAGATGCAGACTACTTGGTTGGGGTTCGCGTGACCATCGTAACCAATGGTTGGAGACCCTTGGTGACATGGCTCAGAATCGATCACAATGGCGTAGGTGTATACACTCCCTGTCTTCCCTTAAACTAAGAGATTAAAATCACTTCATATCTTTCATTCTACTAACTAATTCTTTCTTCCTGTACTGTATCCTTATATGCAATCTTTCTCCTATATATTACCACCCTTGACCTAACCACTCCTATGAATCCGGTGTTCATCTTGCTGTGCTAATGCGGTATGGCAACCTGGACCGATGCATATATGTGCCTGGTCCTAAGTTGTAGCTGACTGACTGACTCTAAAACAACGAATGTACATGTTTTTGCATGGTTTAAAATAGAAATCGAAGGCTTCAGTGTTTGTTGTCTGGGTCTAACTAAAAGAATGGATCAATCTATCCATGCTTACTTTAGGTAACATGGAAATGAGGGGGGCGGATGTTGATTCAATATAAGAAACACATAAACCTAAGAAATTAATCAATGTAAGTCACGCAGCTGTTGAGAGACTTATCACCACCATCGAAAACATTTGCTTTAAGTTAGCCTTGGTATATCTTGAGCAGAACTAGTGTACTCGACCATCATCAAGCTTGGACGTTACAATCAATCTTAATCAATATAAAGAAGACAATCTGTGGTGTATTATGTGGTAAGCTAAAATTAAATGATATTCAGTTACTTAACAAGATTTGAAACAGCTTAGTACAACAAATAATCCCATTTGAAATATACATAAATATGGTATTTACGAGTGGTCCAAATAATGGCACCACAATAAAAATAAAACTTTATGTTGGTTTACTCACCAAACGTATGATACATTTGTAATAAGGAGTATAGTACAAAACGATTAACTTCAACATTATCACACATTAAGAATGGGTAACCAGGTATTGAATTCGGAAAACCCGCACTTCCTGATCCACTTGTAAGTGAATTCACACCCGTATTCGAGGATAATATAGGATCAATCGGTGGTTGTATAATACTAGAAGATGGAATCGAAGTCGGTACGCCTGTATTTACAGGTACAAATGGTCGATTAATTGGAACAGAGCCACCAGTTGTGTTATTCATCAAACCACTGCCCTGTTGTGATATTATGTTCGAATTTTGTGGTTGCGATACACACGCAGAATTATTAACAGAGTGTAAGCTGTTAGTTCCCGGCTGTGTTTGAGTAAGAGTAGAAGAGGTAAGAGCTGAACAAAACCCATAAATTACACAATCTGGTGCCTGTATGCTACGCACAAATTTTATGATGTTCCAATCCAATCTAAATAAAACAAAGTGTTTCGACTCAAATATTATTCGAAATAGATTAATGTTAATGGCGTGCGCTAATAAAACATCAATTAGTTTACACTGTTAGATGTAAAGGTATGGGAAGAGTATATTAAAACAGATTAGTCATAAAAGTGAGATGTTTAACGAGAATTCAAAAGAGGGGACTAATTTATTCTATTTTCCACGGGGAATATTACCAACACAGGTATCAATGGGCCAATACTATAATGACGCCCAAATGCACCGTCTTTTCATGAAATGAATACGAGCAATAAATCGTTTGTTTCTTCCCATTTCAATTAACTATTAGGATCCATAAATTTGATTTATCGTTAAAAATGTTTATTTCTGTATCTAAATGCAATATTAGGCGCGAAGCTGTTATATTTCTCACAGAAAAATAATCTGCCCATAACTGAAATATATAAAAACGTAGTCATTATTGTTGAAGTTCACGAGTTTCTTGTACCTTTTCCCACCAAAATTGTTACACAGAATAGGACTAACAAACAAATTTCAACAAGGTGAAAATTGACGATCTACATCTAAAAAGTATTAGCAAAGTGAGCTACATTTATGTAGGATAACACTACTTCTTTCTAGACAACCAAGAGATGACGTAGAGAACAGCACAAATCAATATATTCAATCATCGTAGATTTAAAAACGTCTTTTTAACTGATATGACGAAGCTGAAATTAAGGTCGATAATTACTTTTTGATTTCATTTGTGTGAGTGACTAAGGAAACTTATATCTTTCAATCATTTATTTGTTAACTGACATGTGATTATGATCACTTTTGTTTCTAATATTTGCATGCACACCCGTTATGTTGCTATGATAATAAGTCAACCAAATGGTCAGTAGTCTTATCTTTTACGAACAGTTCCTCAGGAGCTTGCATCAACAATTTAATCTCGCGAGCAATTATTAGCCGGCTACGTACTATTGCATCTATTTAAAACAATTCGGATCCCGTTCATTATCACAAATCATAATAACCAAATCCATAACATAAGTACACTAGAAACACTTGTAGCACAGCTTTTCGTTGTAAAAGATGTACATAGGAAATAAAAGTATAACTTCATGGGATTACATCATTTATGCTATTACGGATTTTTCCCTTTTACCAATAGTCTTCAATCTAAGATTATATTGAGATTTAAATCTAGGAAACACAATACAATCTTAGTCATCTAGTCTATGAGTTGTGAAGCAAGCTAAAGTAGGTACATAAACCTCTTCGTCCCGTTAAAGGTTTATCAAAAGTTGAGTTGAACAAGATATACAGCGCTAAGTCAGTTATGTACGAAAATAAACAAATTAATTAAGAAAAATAAATATCCTTACTCTGAATGCGAAATATTCCAACCACTTAATGCCTATGTTATTCCATTGAAGAACAGAACAACGGAACATCTGCTTTGGTTTAGAAGAGTGGCTAGTATTACTACTAGTCGTTATTCAAAAAGGTGTGGCTCAAAATAGATTAAATAAACCAAATATTTTTGAGTTATTATAAAAGCTAAATAACACAGCGTCGATTATGGAGTAAAATAAAAAAAACTACTGTGGTGTGTGCTACTTATATTGACATAAGTAGTATACGATGTTAGTCGTGAACAGAAGGTCTGGCAGCAGAGGGACAGGAGGATCGAAAAGTAAAGAATGGAAACAGAATGCAATTTGTACGAAAATGCAAGAACAATGAAGTCTGAGTCATTTTGAGACAATCGATGGACATTTTGCAAATTACGTATTTACTATTTGATTGTTAGATTTTATTAACAAGTCCTGTAAGTTTGTCAGGTACGTTCGATTGTCCCTACTGGTGTTCGTGTTCTCTACACTACTATCAAACTATGGATATAAAGAAGGAAACATGAGAAATGATAAACAAAACAGAGCATCTGACGACGATTGACAAAATAAGTTATGTGTATAGTATTATTTTCTTAAAAACTCTAATAAGAACAGATGGTTTGCCTGCTTGATAATAACTCGTGTGTACATCTAGATAATGTGTGGAGCTATTGTAGATGATGAAACCAACTTGTTAATGTAGTTTTATCAAAGATTTATTGATGTGAACAGAGAAATAAAGAAGCCATGACAAACAACGGAAGCCATTTTATAGGATGTTATTTCACTTAATTCAAAGTTTGTAAAATACTAATATTTAGTTTTGTTCCTAGTTTATTCTACAAACCATAAGCTTTCGTTTGATATATGATTCACTGCTATATCATTTTCTGTTCCAAAGCTATTATAATTTAAACGTAACCTTTTCTACCCCAATGCCCAGTTTGGATACTGTATTTTTCTAGTTGTCTGTGCATTGTCGTGTTAGTCATCTTTTTACACTAATCTGAATTGGGAATAAGGAATAAATCTAGTAGTGTTCTAGCTGACTAGTCTTCGCTCCCGCTTTTCAATGAGGCAGATGATAGAATAGTTTTCGTCCCTCTGCCCATAGCCGTCAGTTTTAGTACTGAATCACGCATTTCTAGCCTAAAGGTTAAACCAGTTAGTTTGTCATATCAAGGCCTTAACGTAGATCGAGACAAGTTCTCTGCTGTATATTACTAGGTGGAGAGATTAAGGAAGTAAAACTTATCTTCGGGAAACTGTTTTGTCGGAAAAGTAGCTAATATCCATCGGTAATTCTTACCGGAAATATTGATGACTTTGAAATAAAGAAATATCGTTAACTTCATAAGCACAACTGATGTGACAACCCCTAGACTAGGTGTTACACGGGTAGATGCATTAGTTACCCGGTTCTAATTGTCACTCAAATTATAACTAATCCATCAGATTAGAAAAGGGGTTAAGCCCCTGACTTGTAAATAAAGAGCTTCGGTTTTTCGAATTTATGTAATTATAGCTTTTACCATTTGAAGAATTTAGGCCTAACATATTTGCAACGTTAAATTACGGAAAAAGAATGATAAATGTTTGTATTATGGTCTATTCAAATTAAGTAAGGTAAGACCGAACTGATTATGATATGAACAACACCACTGATCGGTCACAGATGAAAAAGTAAATTCCTAGAATATCAGTCAAACGAACTTTCTTCACATTAGCTGCTGAATAGATAAACACTAAAAGAAAATTCCAGTGTAAGTGAATCGCCTTTCAGGTTCAGTATCTTAACTGATAGTGTAGAAAACATAACTCGTGGTTTTCTTGAACTAAGCAATTTTTAACTTATGTGTACAATCTGTAAGTAAAAATCTTGCACCCGGCGGCGCACGTTACGCTCCAATTATAGACTCATAACGACTTTTTACCTATGCCTTGAAAATCTTTTATTTTTGTGTCGATAAGTTGGCTAATGAACAAGTCCGAGTATCTATCTTCCCTGAGATTAATGCGCAAGACACTAGGTTTTTTTAATCATTTATGCAGAGTTCATAATTAGTAATCTACGACTGTGTCTTTGTCCTGTGCTTTGTCTCAGATAGGTATGAAAATTTAACAGGAATTTTCAAATAAGTATGAAATGAAAAAGAGTGAGTTGGTTTATTAGGTGTAATAACAATGCCACGATCACAGAATATGTAACTCATAGAAAAGTTGAGATTCAGAGGTCGAAAAAGTAAAAACAGCTATGAAGCGAACCAGAAACCAGTTCAAGTTAAAAATGCAAGGGAAACAAAATTCAAAAAAAGATGTATGACTTACAAATATTGCAGTTCAATAGGAATTTCGTTAGTCCCTCCATCACAAAGATTTTTAGGTTCTTTATTATCGAGAACAGAAGTACTCCAATTAGACCACAATTTCATTAAACCTATTAACGAAGTAAGAGTATGGATTCGAACCTCCGGTGTAAGTATATCTGCAAGACGGAACCCTAATGTATCGAGCAATGTGTAAACAAGTGAGCATGTAAAGTAATTAGAGACTTTTGGATCAGTGGTACTACATAAAACGGTATATTTGGGTTCCATATTCGAGGTATTGTAAGACCATAATGGTTGGAGTTTAGTTAATAAGCCTACAAAAAAATGTTGCGAAATCTACTGTTAGAAAAACATTTTAAAATGAAGAATTTTTGGGAAAATTGGCGTTAAAAAAATAGAAAGTTATTATTTATCTAAGCATTTGGAAAAGAGACACTCAAGATTAAAAGCATATGCAGCATCAAGGTAAAACACGATAATACTGAGAATTCTGAAAATATTTTCAAACTACTAATGTATGACTCGGTAATATAACTCTTGAAAGTGAAGATTTTTTTGGAATCACAAATTAATTCATTTGACATGACAACAAAAATTGTCCAGAAATCCCTATTTAATTGAATTGTAGATATGACCGGAAATTTATCGGGTTGTTATTGGAAACAACCTGCTGGAGCACTTTAATAACTGCTACAAAATGTTCAATGATCAGAATGAATTACGATTGTGGTACTGTCACAAGGACATAATTTATCAGATTTTAAGAAACTAGCCTGAAAAGGAAACCAAATTACTTGATTTTCGGATACAAAAATAAAAGTAGGTAGGGTGTGAACCACTTATAAAAACACATAGTTACTCAGGCTACAAATTCTACACGACATAACAATTATGATGAGTCAATTTTTAACACACCCCTTTACGATATTATTGAGAATATTTTCGATCAGAACTATCTGCATCCACCTATAACAGTTGATTTTAGCTGATAAAGCTAACACGATATAAACGACTCTTTTCAACACCAGTCAAAACAACGATGATTCAAATCATCTCGTCCCACCTATAACTATCAAGGTACAATGGGGGGTTAGAATCACTTCCAATGTGTGAAAGAAGAAATTTATGTCAGGAAGTCCGATCCAATTCAAATGATAGCAGTTCCCCAAAAATGAGAAAAAATTGTGTACTAATATACCCAAGTTAGTGAACATACACATATGAAAAACCAAACGACAAACAGCCCTCAAAGATCTTACGAGAACGAACCTTATGTAAGCCAGGACTGTCGCCCGGTAATTGATGGAATTATAATCCGGCTATAGGTCTCATTGAATAAAACTCGAGACAACAGCTTGGAGTGATCATTTAGCAAAACAGCATGTTCTAATTTAATAACAGTATTATTATTTTGTACAGTTCAAGAACCCAAGAATGAAAACACTGAATTTGTGACGTATATAAGTACTATAACTCATTTGCCAGGTAGTTTGTTTATGCGCTCAGTTTTGAGTGATATTATTTATGTGAGGGCCAGCGATACTAGGTGCCTGCCCAAACCGAAGTAGATGAAATGGTGCTGGAACCAGAGGCCTCGTTAACCATTAATCCAAAAAACCTTTAAATATAGTGACGTAAATAACCGACAATATGTACAAGATTTGAAAAAATGGATCTAATTTCACGTTATTAAATTCTAGACAAAAAATAGTAGAAATTAAGTATGGAACAACTGTTTTGTTCAGCTCTGGAACTTTCTCGAGTCACAATTTACCAGAACCTGGCGAGATCGGTCCTGAAACAATCTAAATCCACAGTAAGAAATTATTTAATCAATCGGTGACATTCCCATCTTACAGTAGGGACGGATTTCAGATTCTAACAAAATACTTGTACATCATACCAACATCATGATATCAATAATGACCAATAGAGAGGTTGGATTTTAGCATTGAAACTAAAATTAGAGTTGAGTTGATAACCGAAAAATACCCTCAATTAAATTTACACTGCTATTTTTGGCAAAGAACCAATTCCTCTAAACAAACACATTTTTGTAGTGGCTGCTAGTAAATTACTTAAGACCCCCACTTGTCAATCAAACGGTCAATTAAGTTAGTCACCAGTACTTTTAAAGTTTCAAGGTGTCTTACGTACTGACCTCATCTGCTTTACTGTTATTGCTGGATAGTAGTCAACCTAGATATGTCGACAAATGCCGGTCTATTGAGAATTCCACGACCAGCTACCAGCATTAATCAAGTTTTTTATTATTTATTTATTTGAACACATAAATATTGGTACAAGAGGACACCAAATATATATGCGCCACACAATCGGGTTATTCACATGACATTCTAACATACTTTGAAACAAACCATCACTTTCACTTAGAGGACGTTTTTTGTGATGAATCAATCAGTTAGTAAGGTTGAAGTAATACGATGGCTTATTTAAATCCTTTCAGAATGTTCTGGTGTCCGGTTAATGAATTTCATAAAGTGAATGGGACCGAATATATAATTGAAATTATATGTAATGTGGTCTGATAAGCGTAGAACTTGATTACAAGATACCAATATCAATCTAAAAGCAAAACAATACAGGGTGGATTGAAATATCCTCTGGGTTGATTAAAAGCTATGGAACAACTGCGTGAATACTCAGTACTGGGAATTAAGTGAAGCAAATCAAAACCATCTTTAAATCTATAAAACCTCCCGGTTTTAGCAGTTTTGGTGTACTCCAGTGTTTTGGTACGCCAAAAAATTGATTATATATGATAAAAGAATAAAAATAAACAATACTTTACAGTATAGATAGAAACAAACAACACTCACACAAAATCCTATTCACGCTATTTGATTCCACTTCGCGACAAGCTAGAATACGACAAAAAGTTTCTATAACAGCTGGTGTAGACAGCATATTGGAATTTGGAAGGACTGAGAATTTTTGTAGGAAGAAGTGTAAGACTCTGAAAACAGAATGGGAAAGAAAAAGCAAATACTTATTGATTACATCATGGTTCATGAAACTTGTTTAAAAAGGCGTAGCTGAAACAGAAATTTAAACAACGAGAAATTTTAGGTGAAAAGGAATCGATTTAATTTACATTTTATTCAATTTCCAAGAAAAAAAGCAAAAATAATTTTTAGTAGTGCTTTCCTTGATGAATGTCGGTTTTACTGGCTGAAGTAAATATGGTCAAATTCGAAACAACTGAAAAACGTGTCCATACATTAAAGCTAATGCGAATAGTGCTGGACTGGATCAACATCAAGAACAATAATTACCGTTGTACTTACAGCATTCTTACATGAACAGACATTGTGCGCATAAGATGGTGAGACAAAGGTTGAAGGCGACCATAGGCAGATAGGTCGTATGGAAAATCAATTTTTCCATTTTTTATTAATCGTGACCATAAAACTCCATGTTCCAGTTTCTGATTATCCTTTGCAGTTTCATTTGTCCAGAATGTGTCTATCAACCTTTGTATTAATTGACTAACTTCATTGTCTGTACTAACTAGAAACAAGAAATAGGTGTCAATTAGTAAATTACCATATATATCAAATTTAATAACTCATTAGCGACAAATGATTCTTCACTTACTAGTCACAACTTAAAAGATAAGGAAACATTATGCACAGATATAGTTACAAAAGAATTCAAATTGATGAATTCACTTACAAGCATTTAGCACAACGAAAAGTTGGTTCCATGTCAACTTTGAAATTAGATGAACAGAACTATTAGATATTTGAGTAGAACTGACAGATTGTACTAGTGCTTGCATACGACGTGATATACGGGATTCTATCGGTCTAAGTGCTGGTGGCATAACACGTGGCAGATGATCTTGACCAAGTCGACTTTTACGTAAAACATGTTGCCAAAGGCAAACAGGTGCTGTAGCCAAATGCAAAAGTCGACCCTGGCGTTTCCAGCAAGCTGTAGAGGAGCGGAAGTGAGGAGGAAGTAAACCTGATACAAAATAAATAAAAATACATGGTGATGTGACAAGTAAACCACAATTAGTATTATCTTTTTAAATATGTGAAGTATGTATTAAGACTTCATTGTAACATAGATAATAAGTGTATACGGTGTCTACAGAACAGTCTAGTATGAAATTAGTCTAATACTAATTATTTGTAGTGGTGTTTTCAAAGTGATCAGTTATTCTAGCTTATTTTTATTCAATACAGACTTTCTGGTAAAAATCTTACAACAAAAAATAAACCACGTTAAACTACATGAGAACTTGAGTCTTATATTTCCACAATATGGATTAAATGATTTCACTTGGAGGTAAACACTTGGACCACCGCTACATATTAACTCAAGAAGGGATTTCCTGATGTGCACTTAGCATTGCCATTCAGGTAGGACAATGTGCATGAGGGCAATAATAAGGGGACTTTCCCACTGAATACTTCCGAATGGATGGCAAATGATATATTAACAAGTCATTCTCACGATCTTCCAGTTTTTATATTTTGACAAAGTGGCTTGACATGGTCAGATAGCACCATAGATAATAGACAAACCAAGATATGGTTTACGACAACAAAAGACTCAATCCCTCATGAATCTGTATGAGAAATAACACATCCAGCTATTATTTTGTTACTATATTTAAACAAAAGTGCAAGGAACGACCTTGAGCAGTGGTGAACAACGAAAGCAAAAGAGACGGGAAAAGGCAGTGGCTGTAGATAACACCTGACAGCTCTTCACACTAATGAAAGACAGAAAAGAAGTCAAGTGTGAGACGATCTCGGAAAAAGACGACACTCTTACATGATCTCAGTCCAGACGTTTCGAACGGTGAGCCGAACATTTTAAGGAGCAGTTCAACTGGTCTTCAGCTACTGTACAACTACCCACCATTCCCAAACAGCCTGAAGAAAATATTAAAATTAGGCCCCGCGACTCTAATTGCAGTTCAGAAAGCTATAGCTAATCTAAAACGAGGAAGAGCAGCTGGTTCAGATGGATCGGCTCCAGAGGTTTTTAAGTATGGTGGTTCAATTTTAGCGATTAGGTTGACTAATATTTTAGCTAAAATCTGGGAGTTGCACAGAATACTATCTGACTGGTCACAATCACTAATCGTCCTAATATATAAGAAGGGGTCGAAATCATCCTGTGATAACCATAGAGGTATAAGTTTGACTAATATAGCATCCAAAAGACTAGCCTCAATAACTATCGGACGCCTAAGACTCGTGAAGTGCAAACACGAGAAAATCAGGCTGGCTTCAGACCTGGTCGTGGCTGCATCGACCACATATTCACCATTCGTCAGGTTCTAGAACACAGGTGCATTTACTCTCTGTCCTCTCTTAGAACCTGAATCCTGAAATCCCCTTGTGTCCTTTTTTATACATATTCTTTCCTAATATCACTGATCCTGTCACTAGTTCTACTCTGATATTTATCTTGGTTATTTTACCTCGCTGTGGTAATGAGGTAAAACGACTTGAACCAACAGACATATTGTCAGGTTTTACGTTGCACACGACTAAGTGACTAGGGTCAGCTACACAATTTCTTTTCAAATCATACCTTCTGAATCCCAATAAGCAGGAAACCTAGGATTATAACTTTTTGTTGGCTATCTCCAACCAATTAATATTACCATATGCTGCACGCAAGATCGATTCATTTAAACTAGTGACATCTAAACCTGGTCGCAGTACCAGAAAATAAATCACTTATTTTTCGAAAAAATCGTCAAAATGAGTTTAGATTAGCTGTGGATTATCGTAAGATCTCTCAGGCTAAAAAACTTATCAGGAAAGGTATATAGCTATTCACTAAAAACAGCTTACTCTCGGTTTCATTCTGAATACATTCGTTGTCCGAATCCTCAGCAGAAGTGGAGCTTTGTTCCTGTACTTCATTTTCATTATCTTTATGGGTAACAAGTTCACGATTGAGATCAGATCTATCGATATCCATCTTTTTGGAGATATGAAATTGAGAAACACTAAACTTAGTATTTTCTGTTGTACTGCTTAGTTCTTTGCCTAAGATGTTTTTGGGCAGAACTCCATCTTTTTGTGTTAAACTAATCTCATTATCATTTGACTGACCAGTGGAATCCTTCCTACCACAACATGGTATAGGGAGATCGATAGCTCGGTCAGGATCTTCAGCTTCAGGGAACAAAATATCGAAAAGCCGGAGGCAAGGGACAAAATCTGTTAACTAAAATACAAAAATTGCAGGTTTATAATCATAATACATAAACCATGTGTATAAATTAGGTTTGAACACGGATTAATCATCTAAACCTTAATTTATATACGTTAACCAAACATTGGGTTTTATTCTTCAAAATTCCATGAAATCTCCGGTCAATGTGTAAACTCTACTACGAATAATATACAGGTAAACAATAGTAAATAAACAAGGTGAAGTCTCATCTATCAAACTAGGGAGGAATAGTGAGCTTGATTAACTATTAATTATTAGACCGTCGTTTAGACAAAAAAACACTAGGTAGCAACTTAGAAAAAGATTCAAGGTGTCAAAGGTTTAACGAACCCCAAACTGATTAAATTAATTTCTAGACAAACTTCAAAACTTTTATATCATACACACAGGGTAAACTGGAGTTGTTTTCATTTGAAAACTAAACCATAAAACACGAAATTCTTGTTAGAGTTGACTATTATTTTATTTTTATTTTTATTTTAACACAAATATTGGTACAAGGAGGCACCAAACACATATGCGCCACACAAATCTCATTCGATATGTGTGAGGGCTGTGATACTGCCCGGGTGCCCAAACCGAAGCAGGTGGTTTTCTTAGGGGGTCACTCCCCGAGCCTTTCATCTAAAGGTCTGACCCACAAGGCAGTGGAGCAACGTAAGGAGATGGAGTCCCATGGAAGCCGGTGACCAAAGATTGGTTCATACGTCATTTGTTCCCGCAGGATAATGGAGTTTTAGTACTGATAACTTGGTATTTTTAGTATAACTGAACACAAATAGTCCCTGTCTCTCCAAGTGAAATTTACCCAGGTCCTGGTACTAATTTGAATAATACAGTATTGATTAGTATACTAAAAGGAACTGGAGTAGAGTGCTGTACGTAATACACTTTTAACGTGTGATTCTGTAAATGAGAATTCATTAGTTTATGTAGTAGATCAAAGTATTTGAGTGTTTCCGTGAACCATGGAACCCACTAACTACACACATTGATGACCTACACATTTTACTCATGTGAAACTATGTAAGGTTTGAAAATCACAATGTAAGCCAAATTATTTATTAAGCTTAGTTAAATGGAATACATTAAGCAAACGGTTTCCTGCTAATTAACCAAACCGGAAAAAATGAAATCTACCAACCATATTTTTTCCAATGAATCCTGAAGTAGCATTTAGCACGAACCACATTACATAATGACTTGATTTAGTCCACGTACGACCTTCCAGCTGTGAAACGGAAGAGAAAATATGCACGAAGACAACTTCAAATATTGTTAAAACAATAAGATATTTGAATATATTAACAAGACATATAGCATTCTGTGCATTAATAATTGTGCCAAACTTTTATGTTAACGTCAACTAATCATACTCAGCAGAGAAATACGTTTACAAAAAGGACAAAAACTAAAACTCGTGAATTGATGTCCATACCATTCACTATATGTAGGATAATAATAATAATAATGCGCGACTCGTCAGGATCTTCGTAGCACAAGAGGAATCAAAACCCGGAAATTAAAGACGAACAGATGCCTAACTCATCAATCCTTCAATGTCATCTACATTTATAAATGACATAAGAGGCTTGTTAGCTCCTCCTGATTCATTTCCCTGGATATAAACAGTGAAACTTTTGGTTTACTGGAAATAACCTCCTAATAACTATGGATATGGTATATTCAGACATTCAAGAGGTTAAATGTGACCCAGAACCATAGAAACAACGGTCGTGTTGAAGATTCTTTTGTTTTCAGTATAAAAAGAAAGGTAAATTAAGATATAACCATAAGCATTGTGAACTTACTTTTATGCAAGCTTATCTCTCATTGATAGTGATTTTTGAGTCTGTGTCACTTAAGTAATGTCTGATAATATCTCAAGATACTGTGTTGCATCATCTGTAGGACCCCAACTAGCGCGTCTTGAACGACCAACAGAACCCAGTCCTGTTCAGCTTTCTTTCATACCACAACACCATTTCATGAGCTTACCACCTCTCCACTTTTTACAACCAAAACCAGCGTCAGCAAATAATGCCCGACGTGGAATCGTCTGGGACGACACTCGTAGAACATGTTCAAGCCACCGAAGTCGGTATTTCAAGATGGTGACATCGATTGCATTATCATCTCTGTGCCCGAACACACGATGCCGAACCTCTGCATTACTAACATGGTGTTGCCACTGGATGTCAGCAATCCTTCGGAGACAACGATGATCGAACACAGAGAGTCGTCTAACGTCCTCAACTCGGAGAGCCCAGGTTTCACAAGCATAGAGCAGAACTGCTCTCACCGACGCGTTGTAGATCCGACCTTTTACAACCAGACTGACATCACGAAGGTGCCAATGGTGGCCCAGATTGGCATAAGCCGCTCTGGCTTTCACTATACGTGAATTGATCTCAGCACTCACGCTACCACTAGCACTTATGCAGCTACCTAGATACACGAACTTCTCGACTACTTTTATCTGTTCACCATCCAGGGTGAGTATAGGATTAGAATCCTACCAGTCTTGTAGAATTACTTTGCACTCCGAAGGTGCAAAGCACATACCATACTTAAGGACACTGATTACCGACTGGTTAAGTGAGGATTGCATGCCTTGGGCATTATCGCACAGTAAGACAATATCATCCACATACTCAAGGTCAAGAAGTCTTTCTCCAGGCAACAGATCCACACCACCATTACTTACATCCATCAGAGCTGTTTCCAGAACGTCGTCGATGGCAAAGTTGGTGAGGGATGGTGAGATTGGGCAACCGTGCCTAACCCCACTGCTCGAATGGAACAATAGAAAGATGTGGTTGTATGCCCTCACTCTGCCTGAGGTGTTAGTATATAGGTGTTAGCGGGACATAGACTAGATTAAAGCATGCTCAATGCATGATTGTTTTGGCGCACGCTGATTGGCTGATTCTTATCCAATCAGCACTAGTCGATAGTCGGAGATTACTCTGGAATCTTCTTATGTAAAAACTATAAATATACCGACGTTTTCCCCCATTGTGCTTCTGACTTGCTACTTGGAATATAATCTTTTTCCTGTTCAACCGTGTTTTGATTTGGGGACTTGTCGAGTGAATCTGTGTCCGAGAATACTAAGCAATAGGAATAGCTGGGCCATCAACCGTAAGAAAGCAGAGTTATAACAGTGGCGACGGGGAAAAAGGAAAACAAATTCAAGATGCCCATATCAGATGACCAGCTTAACCGAATACTACAACAACAGCAAGCACAACTTGATGCACAAATGCGGTTGTTAGAGACCCTGACTCAACAGCTCAACATTCACAGCTCGAGTTCACATGCTATTTCAAGTACGTCTTGTGATGCAGTTGCTAGCAGCATCCCAGAATTCATCTATGATCCCGAAGGTGGAAATACTTTTCTCACGTGGTTCAAACGTTGGGAAGATACATTTAGAACAGAATTCTGTAACCAAGACGATGCGTGGAAGACCCGATTGTTGGTACGTAAGTTGGGAAGCAATGAACATGCACGTTTTGCTGACCATATATTGCCAAAGTTACCTCGAGAGCTCAGTTTCGAGGAGACGGTATTTCAGTTGTCAGAGATATTCGGCGAGTCATCCTCGTTGTTTAGTATTCGATATCGGTGTCTAAATTTGGTGAAACGCGAAGCTGATGAATATGGTGTTCTAGCAGACATTGTCAACAGAGAATGTGAACGTTTCAAGTTACGCTCGTTGACTGATGACCAATTTAAATGCTTAATATTCATCAAAGCTCTTCAGTCACCACGAGATGCTGAGATCAGGACGAGACTTTTAGCTCGACTGGATGAAGACCCAAACGTCACACTCAGAACATTGACAGATGAGTGTAAACGACTACAAAACATCAGACACGACAATCAGTTAATTGAACAGGTAAATTCTAATTTAACCTGCAGTAGTGTAAATGCTATGACTAGGTTAAAAGTTCAGAAGCCGGTAACAACTCGTAACAAACCAAGGACTGCATGCTGGTTATGCGGTGATTGGCATTATGCACGATTCTGTCCATTCAAGAAGCATAAATGTCAGGAGTGCAACAAACGTGGACATAAAGAAGGTCATTGTCCACCGAAGCGTACGTCTCAGCCTAAGAAGAAGCATAAACGTCCTCGACATGTGAAATCAGCCGAGTCTAAATCTCTTTCTCTGGTAGCTGCTTTTCAAAGAAACTATGACATTCGGAGAAAGTATGTTACCATCCAGATAAACGGCATATCAGCTCGTCTTCAAATTGACACGGCATCAGATATCACGTTAGTGTCTAGAGAAACGTATAACTTGCTGGGTAAACCGCCAATAAAGCCATCTAAGAAAACGGCTAAAAACGCATCAGGTGGTGTGCTAAAACTGGTTGGTGAATTACAGTGTGAATTTTCCTTCAATGGAACTAACTGTACAGGAATATGTTACCTAACAGAACGGCCGAACCTTGATCTTCTTGGTCTAGATATGCTAGACAAACTTGGAATAATGGATATACCAATTAACAGTGTCTGTAACGTATCGTGTTCATCATTGGACACCCCATTACTTCCAAAGAAGACAGGTGAACGGTTACTAGAAAAACTGAAAAGAAAGTTTGCCTCTGTTTTTCAGAATAGCCTTGGCCACTGTACCAAGATGAAAGCGCACTTACCAGTGAAACCAGATGCCATACCTATTTTTCGCCCGAGACGTCCTGTACCATATGCTGCTCTTGAGCTAGTCGACCAGGAACTTAATCGCTTGCAGCAGGCTGGTGTAATCCGACCAGTTAACTACTCTGCATGGGCCGCACCGATTGTAGTGATTAAGAAGGCCAATGGGACTATACGCATATGTGCCGATTTCTCGACCGGTTTAAATGCTGCATTAGATGTATATCAATATTTTTTACCAGTTCCGGAAGACCTGTTTGCCAAGCTTAATGGTGGGACATGTTTCGCGAAAATAGACTTCTCCGATGCTTATCTCCAAGTGGAAGTAGATGAAGATAGTAGAGAGCTTCTGACCATTAACACTCATCGAGGGTTATTTCAATACACCCGTCTACCATTTGGCATCAAGACCGCACCCGCCATCTTTCAGCAAATAATGGATACGATGCTAACAGGTATACCTGGTACAGCAGCTTATCTAGATGATATCATAGTTATGGGTTCAACTGACAGTGAACTTTCTGATCGACTACACCAAGTCCTTAACCGAGTGTTGGAGTATGGTTTCCAACTACGTGAGGAAAAATGTATCTTCTTCATGCATTCGATCAAATACCTTGGTTTTATCTTAGATAAGAACGGTCGCCGACCAGACCCTGCCAACATCGAAGCCATTCAGAAGATGCCTGCACCAACTGATGTTTCTTCATTAAGATCCTTCTTGGGGTTAATCAGTCATTACAGCACATTCTTGCCTGAAATGCACCGAGTGAGAGGTCCCCTAAATGAATTACTATCGAAAGATAAACCTTGGCAGTGGTCAGCAGAATGTCAAGCATCTTTTGACAGAGTCAAATCAATGCTCAGCTCAAAGATTCTTTTGACGCACTTCGATCCCAGCTTGGAAATTGTTGTTGCATCTGATGCCTCTAGTCATGGAGTTGGAGCAGTGATATCTCACGTGTTTCCGGATAAATCAGAAAAGACAATTGCCCATGCTGCTAGATCACTTACTCCAGCCGAGCGAAACTACAGCCAAATTGAAAAGGAAGCTCTTGCAATCATTTTCGCAGTCAAAAGATTTCATAAAATGCTCTATGGTCGTACATTTACTCTACTGACAGATCACAAACCTTTGATTGCAATCTTTGGTTCTAAGAAAGGAATCCCTGTCTATACGGCTAATAGACTACAGCGCTGGGCAACAATGCTCCTGAGTTATGATTTTAATATCAAGTATCAGTCGACAAATACTATCGGTCAAGCTGACGCTCTCTCCCGATTAATTGGAGTTCAACATCCTGGACCAGAGGATATAATCATTGCCTCCACAGCAGTAGACCCAGAAATACGAAGTATAGTGGCAGATGCCATTCGAAACACTCCAGTGTCGTCAGATGAAGTCAGGGAAGAAACGCTTCGAGACCCAACACTACAAGAAGTTAGAAAGTTCCACCTAGAAGGGTGGCCCTCGAAAATCTATTCCACAGACCTTCAACAGTTTTACCAGCGAAGACTCTCCCTTTCAATCATCGATGACTGTCTGCTGTTTGCCGAACGTGTCATAATTCCCAAGAAGCTACAACCAGCAGTGCTTGAACAATTGCATGCAGGACATCCTGGAATAAATCGCATGAAAGCACTAGCACGAAGTTATGTATACTGGCCGCATTTAGACACCCAACTGGAGCAGCTATCCCGTTCGTGTACCAAATGTGCATTAGCAACAAAAGCACCGCGAAAAGCAGAGCTGCAATCATGGCCAATACCACAGTCACCGTGGCAGCGTATACATTTGGACTTTGCTGGTCCACTTCATGGACAAACTTACCTTTTGGTGGTTGATGCATATAGCAAGTGGCCAGAAATTTTTCTCATGGAACACCCGACTGCAAGCTGCACAGTCAGTAAACTACGTCAACTATTCAGTCGTTTTGGAATCCCGGAATTGATAGTTAGTGACAACGGAACACAGTTTACGTCCGAAATCTTCTCACAATTTTGTCGGCAGAACGGAATCCAGCACCTCCGAACACCTCCATACCATCCCCAATCAAATGGCCAAGTGGAACGCTTTGTGAGTACATTTAAAAATGCTCTAAAAAAATCCAAAGGGGAAGGGACCACTGAAGATATCTTAGAGAGGTTCCTGTTTATTTATCGTTCTACACCGAACCCTCAGACAATTAACGGGCTCTCTCCAGCAGAAGCTCTACTTGGCAGAAAGATACGTACACATTTCGATGTCATCCGTCCTACGCCAGCTATTGAACCCCAACGAAACCTATCGATGGAGAATCAGTTTAACCGACATCATGGGGCACAAAGACGATTGTTCACGGTGGGACAAAAAGTGCTTGCTATGGACTATCGTGGGAAACATCCTATATGGACAGCTGGTCGGATCTTGAAAAAGAAGGGGAGTGTGGTTTACGAGGTGTCAGTTGGCTCGGAAGTTTGGGTACGTCATGCTAACCAATTGAAAGCAACTTCGATAGCCAGCAACAAGATTCAATATCGATTACCTCTTGATGTTCTGCTAGACACCTTTGAAATCAAAACGCCGGGAATAGACACATCAGTTTCTGTGCAAGAAAAGAGTGATACTTCTTTATTGCCTAGACGATGGACTAATCGAAAGCACAGGCCAGTCACTCGGTTGCAGTTGGACCCTAGCACCAGATCCTACGAATCTGCTCAGAGGGGAGGTGTTAGCGGGACATAGACTAGATTAAAGCATGCTCAATGCATGATTGTTTTGGCGCACGCTGATTGGCTGATTCTTATCCAATCAGCACTAGTCGATAGTCGGAGATTACTCTGGAATCTTCTTATGTAAAAACTATAAATATACCGACGTTTTCCCCCATTGTGCTTCTGACTTGCTACTTGGAATATAATCTTTTTCCTGTTCAACCGTGTTTTGATTTGGGGACTTGTCGAGTGAATCTGTGTCCGAGAATACTAAGCAATAGGAATAGCTGGGCCATCAACCGTAAGAAAGCAGAGTTATAACAATAGGGCTTTTAGGATGTTAATAAACTTCTCAGGCACACCCTTCTCCAATAGACAATCCCAGAGAACAGTCCTTTCCAACGAATCAAAGGCAGCCCTGATGTCAAGAAATGCTACAATTGTTGACCTTTGATAAGTATGACGGTGTTCTAACTTTGGCGGAGGGTGAAGATATGATCATTACATCCTCGATCAGAACGAAACCCGGCCTGCTCCTCGCGAGTCAATCATTCTCGGGTTTTGAGCAACCTACGAAGTATGACGGAAGCCAATAACTTTGACGCAATCGGACGTAGACTTATTCCCCGATAGTTGTTACAGGGACGACGTGAACCCTTTTTAAAGATAGGGACAACTACCGACTCATTCCATGATGTTGGTACACTCTCTAGCTCCCAGACATTTGTAAACAACATATTCAGTTCCTTAGTCCGAAAGTTACCATCATATTTAAAAAGGGTCGGAGGTAAGTCATCTGGGCCAGGTGATTTGCAGCGTTTCTGAGTTGGAGTTCCTTGCGGACTTCCGCCCCATTTGGTAGATCAGTCGTCACCGGCCATGGAGGGCATTACAGTTGAACTGCTCTTCGAATAATTCTGCCTATCGTCCAAGATGTCGATGGATGTTAGTAATTGGCATCCCATCATCCTCGCAGATTGTTTCGCTCACACCAGACGTCTTGCTGCCAGTGGCTCGGATGAGTTGGAAGAGCTTCCGGTAATTACCAGATGCAGCTGCTGCTTCCAGTTCATTAGCACGCTCCGACCACCAGGCTTCTCGGTCCTTACACAAGCTTGGTCCAATTTCCTTACGTAACATCCTTCGTTTGTGGTCAAACTCACGGTCACCCGGAGTAGACCGACGGGCTTTAATGAGTTGTAAGGAACCTGCAGAAACCCAGTGCTTATAAGCGGGACGTTTCGCGAAGCCGCAAGCGGCTTTACTCGCCATTTTCATGGCGTCATGCAATTGCAACCAATCCTCATCTATACTTTTCGGTGGAGTGGTAGCTAGCCTAGAGGCTAGCTCGGTTCGATACTTACTTGCAACAGAAGTTGCAGCCAGCTTGCTAATATCAATCCGTTGATGGCGGTCACTTCGTTGTCCACTGAAAAGTAAGGTAAGATTGGCGCAGACCAAGGCATGGTCAGAGTCCAGATAGGTACTCCAAAAGGAGCGGCAGTCTTTTACACAACCATGCCAGCGGTAGCTGATCGCGATGTGATCAATCTGAGTCCAGGCTTGAGATGCAGAGGGAGGACGCCAGATGGCACATCGGCGATGACTGTGCCGAAAGTTAGTGCTAGCCAGAAACAGGTTGTGGTCTGTGCACAGTTGCAGTAGACGGTCCCCGTTATCTGTTCTGCGACCAACAAGTCCCCATCGGCCACCTAAACGACTCTCTTCTGTGCCTAGACGCCCGACCTGAACATTCAAGTCTCCGGCTAGTACTACAATATCTGTTGAACGCACTTTCTGGAGAAGAACAGTTAACTGGTGGTAAAACTCATCCGTGATTGCATCCGGACTGCAATCTGTCGGGGCATAGGCGGAGATGACGAAAAGACATCGTTTCTCACTTTGATGGAACTCTTTAATCTAACAGCACATAACCGACTGTTAATGGGGATCCAATCGATTAGTGCTGCCTCAGCTCTAGCGCTTAGTGCGATACCAATGCCAGCAAGACCAGACGAAGATGTCACAGGGTCCCCGGATAAGCGCACGTAAAACAAGCCTTTCGAAGCGACAGATGAAGAGCGAATTTGTAGTACTTCACCAGAGTCTTGAATACGGGTCTCAGATAGACAGCAGACATCGATATTAAGACTTTGCAAAGACATAGCCAGTCCTATCTGTTGTCCAACCTGCATAAGTTTGAATGGTGCACGTGGTTTCAGAAAAACTGCTTCAGTATTCGTATTTGGTGGTAGCATACAATTTTCAACCAGGCAGTGACTCGGGAACGTTTAGATAGAACCGAGTTTCCACCGTAGGCGAGCTGCTGTATAAGTCGAAAAATAAGGATACATAAAGTGGGAATAAAAGAGAGTGAATAAATGACGTAGTAAATAATAACAATAACAATAATAATGTGAATCATTTGATTGCTGATCGAAGCAAGACAAGTATTTTCCATAAATATCGACATTTCATCACATTTGTGTGAGGGCTGTGATACTGCCCGGGTGCCCAAACCGAAGCAGGTGGTTTTCTTAGGGGGCCACTCCCCGAGCCTTTCATCTAAAGGTCTAACCCACAAGGCAGTGGAGTAACGTAAGGAGATGCAGTCCCATGGAAGCCGGTGACCAACGATTGGTTCATACGTCATTTGTTCCCGCAGGATACTGGAGCCCATGTGCACCATTGGTTTGGGATCCGGTTAAAGCGCCGGACATTCGCTTTTCGTCCTCTCATTTTTGTAAACAACACCCCCGCCACGAGAACGCAGTGAGTAGGGCTTCCCTGGCAGAGGCTGTATACGCGTGGCCGTGTGAGAGCATTTCGAGAGGGAGGGAGGGCGGGCCCACCCCACTCTCGGCCATACCAGGGCATTTGGAGGTTCATATATTGATGTTCCAGATGTGTGGAATTCATCTTAAATAAAAGTGACGTTTCTTGAAGCTGACAAAGCAGATAGCTTTAAGTAAAACATTAAATACAATAAATTCATTTGATGATATTGTTTACTTGAATCTTTTCATTGATGTTTAGGACTGCAATTGATCAGTCTCTTATTGGTATATGTGCACAATATATCCTTTCTTTTCCAAGATTTTTGAAGCTGTTTTCGAATACCAACAAAAATCCGAACTAATGAGAGAATTGGTTAGATAGATGTACCTACACCCTAGTGTTTATGTTCATACCGGAATATGCCCAGACGCGTATCCCGAGTTGTACTGTTAACTGAAATCGAAGTTTGCTAAAACTTAGGACCAAATAGAAATATTGGAGAAATCTGCTCAACATACCCATATGCCAAAAATGAATCGTCAATTACAGCCCTCACTGTCAACAACGAGAATATACAAACGCTTATAAATAATGGTGGAAGTAATATTAAGAATACTAATTTTCATTTTATTGGTGTTTAGTCTTAAAAAGCCAAGTTAATAACAGCCTAAGCGCAAAATAAAATACATATGTTTTTCACAAAAACTGCTTGGCCAAGTCGAGATGCAAAGTTTTACAAAATTGTGCTTACTTTTGAATTAAGTTTGACAACAATTTCATTAAATCTAACCGTGCTGTTCAGCATGAAGGTAATCATAACACTTATTAAATGTTCGAATATTGTACGGTTCCACGTTTCGTCGTTTGTACATTCCAACAGTTCCATAACCTGAACAATTAATTCGACCAACGCAAGTTCCAGGCCCACAGATCGAGTTTTCTTCCGTGGTATTTGGTTAGTGAGTAGCGTTAAACGAAACAACACCAAAATCAAGGGGTTATAAATTTTGAACCTAACTGTATCAGTATGTAATAACCCAAAATGCAATAGTAATACTGTGCAACATACAATGGTAGTGTACTAGCAACATACAACATACTTGTAAGTACAAGTCAGGTGAGTCATTGAAGTTAAAGAGGGATGAAGAAAACTACATACACATTTTGCTTAGGATTATAGGTTAAATTAGCGGTTAGTATAGTGAGATCGATTTCTCTCTAAGATCTGTACGAATACAGTAATTAAGTCCCCAACCACCTTTATTTTGATTGACGGAAATACTTTCAAGAGTTATTCTACTAGTTCAAGGTTATGTAGGTTTTTACTTTTAGAACCATAGTCAAACAATTGTATTGCTGTTTAGGTCTCACAGATCATTTCAACGCGATCGCGTAACTAGTATAGTATCTTTAAGACAAACAGTTATGTCAGTAGTCTAGAAACTCAAATTAGCCGTTAAGCTATCAATCCGAAAATACCATATTTCAGTTCAGACAGTTAGATAGTATTGTTAGACATCATACACTATGTATAGCTTAAAGCCCAGTATGTACGATAGTAACTGACTGCTGAACAACATTTGTTTCCATAATTTTAGTTTGGAATGCATAAAACTCCCAGTCACTCTACGTAAGAAGTAGGTGACGTATATCAGATTCTAAGATGAACATTTGAGAGTATTCTTATCTCTGTTGTCAAATTGTCGGTCACCTAAAACAATAACACCACAAAATAGTTGTCAGCATAATATTAATCCCGTAACGATTTAATTTAAATTTGTTCATATTTTTATCTCTACATTTTTAAAACTAAAAATATACGAATTTCAAAAACACAGAAAACGTACAACTTTTCCACTCGCAGGATCAAGCATTCCGGTTGTAAGTTCAAAACTTCGCAGCTGACCCAAAACTGTACACAAAAGAGGTAGCTGTGAGCTTGTAAGAAATTCAGGATATCGCATAGCACCTTTAATAGAAGTCAAGACGAGATTAGAAGAATCCAGTCTATAGTTTGGAGCACTCAATGAGGTTATTCCGCAGAAAGGAGTCATGGCATGGTAAACTAGAAAGATATAAAATTCTGTATTAAAACTGATTCTTTGAATTTAAAAACATATGAATATACTCGACAAAGCATTTTCCAATCAGTTAAAACTGCAACCCATTGTAACGGTCTTCGGCTTGAAACAATTTTGTTAGCAAACTTTACATGTCCCAATGACAGACTGAGAAGAAAGATATATCACCAAGATTACAAAAAAAAGAGATCAGAAAAAATGTGAGGACTAAAGAGCATCACACTACTGTCAGTACCAGGAAAGGTTTTCAACAAAGTGTTGCTGAATAGGATGAAAGATTCAGTAGACAACCAACGTCAAAATCAACAGGCTGAATTCAGTAACGATAGGTCGTGCACAAACCAAGCTGTAACACTACGGTTCATCGTTGAACAATCGATTGAATGGGACTTGTCACTATATATCAACTACCTTGACTACGAGAAGGCGTTTGGCAGCATGGATAGGAGGACCTTATGGAACCTTCTTCGACACTATGGTGTACTTGACAAGATCGTTACTATATTACGGGATTCTTACGACAGACTACACTCTAAAGTCGTGAATGGAGAACGGCTGGTAGATGCATTCCAAGTGAAGACCGGTGTTAGACAAGGCTGTTTATTCTCCCCTTTCCTCTTTCTTCCAGTGGCAGGCTAGATTAGGAAGACCTCCACATCTCAGGAAAAGCACAAAATACAATGAACAGCTTGCATACAAATAGACGATTTAGACTTCACAGACAACCTAGCTCTTCGATACCATAAACGTCAACAAATGCAGGTCAAGACAAACAATGCAGCAGCAGCTTCTATATCAGTAGGCCTCAACATACACAACGGAAAACGCAAGATCCTCAAATACAACACAGTGAACACCAACTCAATCACACTTGATCGAGAAGCTCTGGAAGATACGGAATCTTTCACGTACCTGGACCTGGACAGCATTATCTATGAACAAGGAGGATCTGATGCAGACGTAAAGGCAAGGATTGACAAAGCAAGGATAGCATTCCCACAACTGAAGAACATGTGCAACTCAAAACAACAGTAAGCCAGTATCAATGTCACAATCTTCAATACGAATGTCAAGACAGTTCTATTGTACAGAGCTGAAACTCGGAGAACTACTACAACCATCATCGAAACAAAGCACAGATATTTACAAACAATTGACTACGCAAGATACCTAATGTCCGTTTGCCGGATACCATCAGCAACAGCCTACTGTGGGAGAGAATAAGCCAGCTTCCAACTGAGGAGGAAACTAGGAAAAGACGTTGGAAGTGAATAGGACACACATTGAGGAAATCATCAAACTGCATCACGAGGCAAGCGCTAACTTGGGTTCCTAAAGGGAAACGCATAAGAGGAAGGTCAAAGAACATGCTGAGCCAAGAATCCGAAGCTGACATGAAAAGGATGAATAGCAGCTGGAAAAGATTGCTCAGGACAGAGTTGGATGGAGTGCTACTGAGTGGCCTTTGCAACAACATAGAACTTCGTACGTACGTACATCAGTTCAAGTTGCCACACCACATTAGTACAGAGATGCAGTGGTCGATTAAAATCCCGTAGTGCTAGGTGTAGTAAGATTATAAGCTGTAATCAGAAAAATTAGGGTTTGAAGATGTTATTCAAGGACTATAATCCAGTGAAATAAATTTGGAAAGAGAAAAAAGAAAGGGACATGAAGAATTTAGAAGATTAGAATTTGGGAGAACACAAACAGAGGATGCACCTGTGCCATTGCAAACGATTTTGAGCCATGTCATTCAGGGTATCTAACCATCGGTTTCTATCATCTCGCGGTACCCAACCAGGTAGTCTACACCTACCAATATGACTCAGTCTACTTGTCAGTGACTTCATGGACTTGTGCCATGTTTTGGTCTGGCCTCCCATAGCTTTCTTCCAATCTACCCTGCCTAAACCCACTGCTCGAATGGAACAATAGAAAGATGTGGTTGTATGCCCTCACTCTGCCTGAGGTGTTAGTATATAGGGCTTTTAGGATGTTAATAAACTTCTCAGGCACACCCTTCTTCAATAGACAATCCCAGAGAACAGTCCTTTCCAACGAATCAAAGGCAGCCCTGATGTCAAGAAACACTACGATTGTTGGCCTTTTATAAGCATGACGGTGTTCTAACATTTGGCGGAGGGTGACGATATGATCAATACATCCTCCCCCAAATGCCCTGGTATGGCCGAGAGTGGGGTGGGCCCGCCCTCCCTCCCTCTCGAAATGCTCTCACACGGCCACGCGTATACAGCCTCTGCCAGGGAAGCCCTACTCACTGCGTTCTCGTGGCGGGGGTGTTGTTTACAAAAATGAGAGGACGAAAAGCGAATGTCCGGCGCTTTAACCGGATCCCAAACCAATGGTGCACATGGGCTCCAGTATCCTGCGGGAATAAATGACGTATGAACCAATCGTTGGTCACTGGCTTCCATGGGACTGCATCTCCTTACGTTACTCCACTGCCTTGTGGGTTAGACCTTTAGATGAAAGGCTCGGGGAGTGACCCCCTAAGAAAACCACCTGCTTCGGTTTGGGCACCCGGGCAGTATCACAGCCCTCACACAAATGTGATGAAATGTCGATATTTATGGAAAATACTTTACTTGCTTCAACTAACAGTCAAATGATTCAAACGATTATTATTATTATTATTTACAACATTATTAACCCTCTTTTATACTTATACAGCGGCTCGTCTTTGGTAGAAATTCGACGGTATCTAAAAGTTCTGGAGTCACTGCCTGGTTGAAAATTGTGTGCTACCACCAAATACGAATACTGAAGCAGTTTTTCTGAAACCACGTGCAGCATTCAAACTGGCTGGTCGGAGCGTGCTAATGAACTGGAAGCAGCAGCTGCATCTGGTAATTACCGGAAGCTCTTCCAACTCATCCGAGCCACTGGCAGCAAGACGTCTGGGAGGATGACGGGATGTCAATTACTAACATCCATCGACGTCTTGGACGATAGGCAGAATTCTTCGAAGGGCAGTTCAACTGGTCTGCTGCTCCGGCGACATCGGTCGGACTGTCCTGCCCTCCATGGCCGGTGACGACTGATCTACCAAATGAGGCGGAAGTCCGCAAGGAACTCCAACTCAGAAACGCTGCAAATCACCTGGCCCAGATGACTTACCTCCGACCCTTTTTAAATATGATGGTAACTTTCGGACTAAGGAACTGAATATGTTGTTTACAAATGTCTGGGAGCTAGAGAGTGTACCAACATCATGGAATGAGTCGGTAGTTGTCCCTATCTTTAAAAAGGGTTCACGTCGTTCCTGTAACAACTATCGGGGAATAAGTCTACGTCCGATTGCGTCAAAGTTATTGGCTTCCGTCATACTTCGTAGGTTGCTCAAAACCCGAGAATGATTGACTCGCGAGGAGCGGTATTTTTTATTTTATTTCAACAAATAAATATTGGTACAAGAGGGCACCAAATATATATGCGCCACCACAAATCTAATTGATATGTGTGAGGGCTGTGATACTGCCCGGGTGCCCAAACCGAAGCAGGTGGTTTTCTTAGGGGGTCACTCCCCGAGCCTTTCATCTAAAGGTCTAACCCACAAGGCAGTGGAGTAACGTAAGGAGATGCAGTCCCATGGAAGCCAGTGACCAATGATTGGTTCATACGTCATTTGTTCCCGCAGGATACTGGAGCCCATGTGCACCATTGGTTTGGGATCCGGTTAAAGCGCCGGACATTCGCTTTTCGTCCTCTCATTTTTGTAAACAACACCCCCGCCACGAGAACGCAGTGAGTAAGGCTTCCCTGGCAGAGGCTGTATACGCGTGGCCGTGTGAGAGCATTTCGAGAGGGAGGGAGGGCGGGCCCACCCCACTCTCGGCCATACCAGGGCATTTGGGGGAGGATGTATTGATCATATCGTCACCCTCCGCCAAATGTTAGAACACCGTCATGCTTATAAAAGGCCAACAATCGTAGTGTTTCTTGACATTAGGGCTGCCTTTGATTCGTTGGAAAGGACTGTTCTCTGGGATTGTCTATTGAAGAAGGGTGTGCCTGAGAAGTTTATTAACATCCTAAAAGCCCTATATACTAACACCTCGGGCAGAGTGAGGGCATACAACCACATCTTTCTATTGTTCCATTCGAGCAGTGGGGTTAGGCACGGTTGCCCAATCTCACCATCCCTCACCAACTTTGCCATCGACGACGTTCTGGAAACAGCTCTGATGGATGTAAGTAATGGTGGTGTGGATCTGTTGCCTGGAGAAAGACTTCTTGACCTTGAGTATGTGGATAATATTGTCTTACTGTGCGATAATGCCCAAGGCATGCAATCCTCACTTAACCAGTCGGTAATCAGTGTCCTTAAGTATGGTATGTGCTTTGCACCTTCGGAGTGCAAAGTAATTCTACAAGACTGGTAGGATTCTAATCCTATACTCACCCTGGATGGTGAACAGATAAAAGTAGTCGAGAAGTTCGTGTATCTAGGTAGCTGCATAAGTGCTAGTGGTAGCGTGAGTGCTGAGATCAATTCACGTATAGTGAAAGCCAGAGCGGCTTATGCCAATCTGGGCCACCATTGGCACCTTCGTGATGTCAGTCTGGTTGTAAAAGGTCGGATCTACAACGCGTCGGTGAGAGCAGTTCTGCTCTATGCTTGTGAAACCTGGGCTCTCCGAGTTGAGGACGTTAGACGACTCTCTGTGTTCGATCATCGTTGTCTCCGAAGGATTGCTGACATCCAGTGGCAACACCATGTTAGTAATGCAGAGGTTCGGCATCGTGTGTTCGGGCACAGAGATGATAATGCAATCGATGTCACCATCTTGAAACACCGACTTCGGTGGCTTGAACATGTTCTACGAGTGTCGTCCCAGAGAATTCCACGTCGGGCATTATTTGCTGACGCTGGTTTTGGTTGTAAAAAGTGGAGAGGTGGTAAGCTCATGACATGGTGTTGTGGTATGAAAGAAAGCTGAACAGGACTGGGTTCTGTTGGTCGTTCAAGACGCGCTAGTTGGGGTCCTACAGATGATGCAACACAATGGCTAGAGACGTTATCAGATATGGCTCATAATAGAAGCCAGTGGCAATTCTGCTGTAACCTTCTTTTACTTTCTTCATAAAAAGTGGTTGTGTCTCCCTTAACTGAAAGATTTCTTCTGACTGTGCCTTCCCGTTCCCTCATTATTACTATTATTATTACTACACTACCTTACACCCATCTCTTCGTTATTGTTCTCTTTTTTTTACGCTCCTTACCTTTTTTTTCTTTCTCTTCGAATTCTCATTGTTTTGTGTGGCGCATATATATTTGACGCTCTCTTGTACCAATATTTATGTGTTCAAATAAATAAATAAATAAATCCTCTACTCTAACCGGCCATGTCTCACTGCCATAAAGTAGGATGGAACGAACTACTGCGCAGTAAACACGTCCTTTGGTTGATAGACGGATATCTCGCCTACGCCATAAATAACGCAAGTTGGCAAGAGCTAGTCGACCCTTCTGTATCCGTGCTGAGATTTCGTCACACACTAGACCACAAGGGCTGACGAGACTTCCAAGATAAGTGGAGCGATCGACATGCTCAATTACTTCACTCCTTATCATTAGTTCGGGTGTCAATGCAACCCAATCCTGAAGCAACATTTTGCATTTCGAGGGGGAGAATCGCATCCCGAACATACTTGCATTGTTGCTCAGAGTGGTCAGAAGACTCGGCATTTTGTCAGCGTCTTCACCAAATAAAACTATGTCATCAGCATATTCTAAGTCAACAAGTGAACCTCCCGGTAGGAGTTCAACCCCTGGAAATCTAGACGAGAAAAGTGTTATCTCTAAAAGTACATCGACGACAAAGTTGAACAAGAATGGAGAGAGTGGACAGACCTGACGAACACTACTTGAAGTAAACAATTCTGATGACAGTTCGCCATAACCTCTCACTCTACCAGTTGTGTTCGAGTAGAGAGCCTGCACAAGGTTAATGTACTTCTTTGGTATGCCTTTCAATGAAAGACACTGTCATAGAACCTCACGATCAACAAAGTCAATCACCGCCTTAAGGTCAAGGAATACAACTGTAGTCGTACGTCGAAAAGTATGTCTATGTCTCAGGACCTGCCTAAGGATGAATATTTGGTCTATATATCCACGTCCAGATCTGAAACCAGCTTGGTTTTTTTCAGGTTTGCTCTTCCTGAGCTCTAGTTGGACGTCGATTTATTCTAGAGGCTAATATTTTAGGCATTATGTTAGTCGAATTGATTCCTCTGTGATTATTGCAACAGGATTTTTGTCGTTTCTTAAAGACTGGGAAGATCAGCGGTTGAGACTAGTCAGATGGAATTACGTCCACTTCCCAGATTCTAGCTAAGATTTCAGTTAATCTAATTGATAAAATTGGACCACCATCCTTAAAATTCACAGAGGTTAGTCCATAAGGCCCTGCTGCTTTTCGCTTTAGATTACTTATAGCCTTTCCAACCTCACTAAGTCAGAGAAATTATATCAGTCTACCATCCGGGTCGTTTGGATATAGTGGGTAGCTGAAGTGTGAAGGCCAGTTGAACTCTTCTGTAAAGTATTTTGCCCATCGGTCTAATCTCTTAAAGAGTAAATAATAGTCCTATCTTTTTCCGAGACACTTTCACTGACAACCGTACTTTCAATATCCATTTCCTTGATAAGTCTGGACGGTTGTCTACTGTTACCATATCGCCTCTAGCCTCCTCCAATTGTTACTGAAATATATATACTTAACCTTTTCGTTACTAATTTGAGCTAGATAAGTGGGTAGATGCAACGCACATCCAAAAAGTATGAACTGGTATACCCAAAAATAAATCAAAAGGACTGACAATATAGTAATCAAAAGATTAAATAAATACAGATTACTGTATTACGCTGATGAAATGATCGATAACGACACTATACAGTTTAAATAACAAAAGCCCTTAAGTCTATGGCATAGTTAAATAGCTTTTTTAACATTGGAACCGTTTTATTTCCAACAATAAATAGCCAAACATCATTGAAAATTGGACAGTTTTAGTTGATTATACGCAGCTAATGAACATACCCTACTAATTGCTTAGATATCTATGTCTCAGTAACCCATTCAAATTACGTAATACCGTCTGTCTTGAGGCTAGATATAAATGACTCAGAATCACTATTTATTTAAGAAATGAGTTCATTCGCATGACGGAGTAGGGAATTTTAAACTTATAATCAGCGCTCTATCTGCATGACCGTAGAGAATAAACTACAACTATTAATCAGAAAGTTCGAAAAACAGTATTCTGGCTTAGGGGTTATCTAAGACTGATTCCAGATGAACCAACACAATTACGAAAAAGGGTCACGAAGACAAGATCATGGAACGCTTGAAACGATAACCTGAGAAAGCTTCATCACAAACAGGTGTATGAGGAGTTTCCTTCTCGGCTTACAGAATAACCAAACTTGAACATTGATACAAAAAGCTCTAAAAGCCACATCCCAACAGTAAATCTTGCGGAACGACTCAAAAAGGTGAACACATTGTATATCAATGACTGCGAAGGCCAGCTGGGTCCTAGAGAACTATTTTACTCATTCGCACTAGATTCCAACTTACTCTGAAATGAAACAGTATATGATTTCTGACAATAAACTGTCGTGTCAGACATGCAAGTACAATTTTTTTCTAAAAACAAACTGTTTTTATAGGCGAAAAACAGCACAGATTCAGTTTCTTACGGAGCAAGTCAGTGGCGTAAAGGAATTGAATTCTAACGGACATATCTCGAATACCTACGAAGCGATTTTAAAGCATCCACGCAAACAGGCGACTAGTTGAGAGAAACTACTAGCATTTCTCCTCCCTTATAAGTTAAAAAATCATTACTTTGGATCACGGATCCGTAAAATGTATTTAGCTTTTACAATCAATGTAGATTATAACAGAATATAAGGACGTGTAGTTAGTTTTCGAGTTAAGTTAGCAAAGTATAATCTGTAGATCTCAATTTAGAATTTCCAAGAGTCAGAGAATATTGTGAGAATATTGAGATTATGCAAAGTAGTTTGCTAAGATATGCTGGACTTAGTATAACTCAATACACTAAAAATCCTGAAAACGATTACTAACCTCTCGAATACAGCAAGCGCGCAGGCCTTTTGAAACTGTCCATAAAGTTGTTGAATTCTGTTTGAATAAACTACGAACGTCATTAAAATTAACCGGATTACCTGAGGAGCGTCGCCAAATTCGCTAGAAAAATTTCGAATTAGCTCATGCATAGCGAAGTAGGCAGGCATCAGGCATATCTCACGACATAATAGTAGCTGTATTAACTAAAAAGACATAAAGGATGCGGCAAACTAAACCTCTAATGAAGGGTCAATAGTATAAAACAAGGTGCGGTCGCAGAACATTTTCTCTGTAAACTGTGATGACTTTTCAATGCTTTTATTAAAAACCTCACGGTTGCTCTTTATCAAACAATTAAACAAGATTTGACGATTTACCTTATAATCCAGAAAGAAAATAAGCTTTAGAAGAAGCTTAAATATACACCGAAACAAGATGGGAGACTCCACACGCAGATGCTCTGAGCATACCAGTGAATGAGCGATTTCTCTGAAGAGTGAGATATAGTTAAATATACCTTGGTGAGAACATTGTCTTTTCAATAGCAAAATCTATGCTCCACAGAATTCGCATCACAATACGTTCATGTTTTATATTGGCTAGCCTTGACATTAAACAATCCAGTGCCCTGAACCTCTTGATTATGTCAATTATTAGCAGTCATGTGTCTTACTGATTTTTGATGCAAAACCTCGCTCCACAGCCTTTGTGACCTGATAACATCCATATCTATTAAACTCATTCCTTCATCTAATATCATACCACCAAGTGACTCTTCTAACATGACAGAAACCTAAAGATAAAGCATATATCACGAACTTACTGTCAACTCATTTATGAACCTATCTATCGCAATCACCGGATCATGTATCATCCCCAGTACAAAAGTTTATTCAATTCTTTAAAGTCTTCAGAATCTGAGAGTTATCAAATTAATAAGTTGACTTTCTAGTTATTTACTGAACAAATCGAAGGTCTGAAGAATAAAAGAATCAACAAAACAGTGATAGAACGAATGAACATGTAAATATAATCCTGGTGATAAAAATAAGGCGGAAGAAAAAACAGTGAACTAACAGAGGTAAGACAAGACAATGTAAAGCCACACTTGTATAGCCGCGTTTACTATTCGATCCCAGATATGTAAACACATGAATATATCTGGAAACTCTGTGAAGAAAAGCGACTATTACTAAATTTTATCACTGGGATGGAAAAATTTCATTGAATTACTTAGATGGCTGAATCTCCAAATACTATGAAAACAAATAAAGCTATTCCAACACGACATGTGTACAGCGGTAAATAAGTCCCCAAGATAAAGTTTTATATGTCTTTGACATTGATGCTGACCTCATTGGTTTTTCTGGACACAATCCAGTTGAAGGTGCTCCACCAGGCATATTCATCAGATCACGAGTGTGTATTACGGTGCTTGTCATCAATTTCAACTGTCTGCCAACTCAGACCAAACGCTCATCGATAAATCGATAGTCCTCTTATGATAGACCTTTTACGAGGGCTTATTTGGATAGAACGTCTTGTATAAGCCGTCTTTTGTACGTCACTGATTTGATGACAAAAGTTTGCTATCTCGTCGACACTAGAACGAAAGCCAGAGTTCTTAAGAATTCTGACGATTGACTGTGTAAACCTGCTTTCAACCTACAGACGACAAATCGGAAACCGATTGCCGCTTATGGCAAGTGATATGTTTATCTCAACGTAGGTTTATACAAACCCAATCATTGGATTTTCGTTGTTGCAGTTGTTTCTATGTCAGCCATAGAAAAAAACCTGACACACCATAATCTACTCACCGACACACGCAAATGGAGGAAAGCAGATGGGCATTTTAATTCATCTGTTTGTGTAACTGCCTTTCTTAGTTGTAGATTATCTGAACTTTTGATTTGCCCTACTACACTACTAAGAATCACAGGACTTCGAACGACTGCCTACCACCCACAAGCTATGTGGTTAGTAGAACGCTTTCACCGACAGATCAGGGCCTCACTTCCAGCGGCAAAAGTTTCACAATGGATTGACGCCCTTCCACTCGTTCTTCTGAGTATTTTCAATCCAGAGAAAGCTGACGTTGAATGCACTGCAACACAACTCGTTTGCCGAACTGAAATCCGACCCCCGGGAGGATTTGTGGATCCTCCATATTCATCGATGAATATGGGTCTAAACTCTTGCACGGGCAGGCTTATAAACGCCATGCACTCAGTTATACCTGTTTTCACTCGACATTATCCAACTGATGTTTTCGCCTTTTGACGTAGTACACATGTCTTCATACTCCAGGACTCCGTACTTTAACCTCTCAAAGTGGAATACGAAAGACCCTTCAAAATCCTTCGTCGCAAACCCGAAAACTATATCATCGATAAGAACGAAACCAACTATAACGTCAGCAATGACCGTTTTATAGCCGCATATTTACAAGGTGACCCTACTAATATTTATTTTCCTCCAATACAATCGAACGACAAGAGCCTGAGAATTACGATACCCTATCCGATAATCCGCAGTCACGTGGCTGGTGTCTAGCGACCAGCCCGAAACAATACACTCTGGAAGTAGGGTAAGGCTTCCAGAACACTCAAACGACTAATGCACATAAGAAGAAAAGTAACATTTTCATTTATCTCACCTGTTTGTCTTCTTGTGTCAAAAAACAAATACTTTTTTAATATGCTCATATATGTGTAGTGTTTTGTTTTCTTAAAACATCCAGAAAACATTCATTATGCAAAATTTATTTCACGCCATCGCGTGTTATCAACATACATGTGTGACAGTATATTTCCTTTCTATCGTGCATTTTGGTTCTTTACACATGTACAGTTGTATTTCTATGCGTACTTACACTTAGTTTTCTTTGTTTTTCAGGAGGACTGTAAAACATGGAAAAGCCAACCGAGAATACGATGAATAGAAACTTTCATTGTACATTCTTTTCTTCACTGCTATGTTGTAACATGTGGCCCTTTGTATTAGGAAAAGGCGATCAGGTGCTGCCGAACGTAGAAAGCCATCTGAAGAGTGTTCACTAACGACAAGCTCCCCGGGTTTAAACTTCTAACTGGCCATATCTTAGAGTCATCACCACCCAACTGAGAGGAGTGAGTTGTGAAACTAAAGAAATCCACAGGATAAATAGTTCTGTATGTCTTCGACACTGATACCGACTTCATCAGTTTTACTGGATACACATAGATGAAGGTGCTCTGTCTTCATTGATTCCACAGCTGTGTAAATATAAGTGATAAACAAATGAAAGCGTGAAAATAACTGGGTTACCGTACTCTGAGGTGTACGTATTCGGCGGTCGCCTCGAGGAGCATGATTGTGGTTTTTTCTGGAAGAATTCCGTGTTAAAGTGACTTGGCGTACTCATCGTGTTGTATTCAATTATCAGGTCACCTCTCACTCTCCTGTAGCCCAAAGAGAACAATCTTAAGTTTGAAAGTCTGTTTTCGTAAGAATAATGCTTTGGATCTATCAATCGTTTAGTTGCCCGTCTCTGTATTTGGTTCTAGAGTTTAATGTCTAATTTGAAGAGAGAAGCCTCAACAACACTCAGGACTTGAAGGTGGTTCCATGAGTAAGTGTTGATGAGAGTTTGGATCAACTCTGGAGTGATTTGCGACAAAGTGTTTTTATATAAAGTAAAAAATTGCGTTTGTCTTGGATGTACCACAAATGTAATTTGAACTGTAGTCATCAATCTGAAGTAAGTAAGTAAGCAGTCATGAGGCGATTTCATTGCTGGGTTTAAGGTTTACGTGTCAAGTAGGGCAAAATGTTCATGATATAGCATTTTCATAGGTCGGTTTTTTTTTATCTCACTGTCTACTTCCTATATCCCAATTGTTAGAAGGTCCCTTTGAAGCTCATGTGAATCCTTTTTCACCTTTCATAAATATCAAGTTTTTGCGTCGTTTTCATGGATTAGTTCCATGGACCTAGTTTCACTTAGAAAGTCATCAATAATGATCAGAATGCATGGCTTGATATGATACATCCTGCTCGCTAGGTAGTTTAGAAGTCTAAATAAAAGGTCAAAGGAGCCTATTTCTGCAACCTTCCCTGTCGAAAGTTTGTGAACTACTGAGTCAAAGCCTCTTATGCAGTTAAGGAATATTACATAGGCCGTTGTCTTTTGATCTCAATAGGTTATTTAGTTGTCCCATGCCATGAGGTTGGGTGCACATGACCTGCCTTTACGAAATTCGTTTTGGGTTCCACGGATGTTTTCATCCATTTGTTCCCTTAACTGTTCATCAACCAGTACTTTCATTACTTTACGACAAGTTAACCATCTGTTTTTAATTGTACAGTAAATCTATTACCTAGCGGCTTTGACACCTAATTTTGCCTATTTAGCGGGTGAGTTGTGCATATATGAGCATAATTTTCAATCGCCTAACTTTAATGGTTTGAAACTATCTACATGTGTCTTTCATGAACTTAACATTATAGCACACTGGCTGCTGCAAAATCAAACAAAACGAAATGGGTAGAGCTCAAAACCAAATCCTCAGTGAAAAGTCTCTTATAGCCGGCACTCACTTATTAAGTATACGGAATATTTCCCAAAGTCGCTTGATACGGTACCCATATTTGGGACTAAAAACTTATGCGATATTTAGTAAACGCAACAGTGGCTTACGCAAGCAGTAACCCTATTTAAATAATATCGTGAATTTATATCAAGAGTAAGCAACCTTGTCTAACACCGGTCTGCTATTGGAACGCATGTCAGATGTCTTTCATGCAGGTCTCTGTGTTGCAGACCGTCGTATGAACTCCAAATCATGTTTATGGTCTTGCCACTTATACCATAGTGCCGAAGAAGGTTTCATGAAGTTATCCTGTCCACGCTATCAAATGCCTTCTCATAGTCATCTTAGGTGATGTAAAGTGGTGTGTTTCATTGGATTGGCCGTTAAACAACGGTCTGTATTGATGCACTTTGATTTGTGCGCCACCGATCCTCACTGAATTCAGCCTGTTGGTTTCAAGGTTTGGCGTCTACGGTTTTGTACAGATTGAAGTACTTGTCGAATATCCGTTGATTGTATGGATCGATTATGTGCTTGGCAGTAACAGAGGACAATCTGTAATTAAAAAATGAAGTTACATGAACACATAAATTAGTGTTTCCATCTACTAATCTATGTTTGGGCATGTCAATAGATAGAGTATGGTGTTGTACCAGGCCCATACCAGTGATTAGCATAGAAACACATGCAATAACGAAGATCAAGTGGATGGATTTTTGTAAACTCACATTAAGATGATTATATAGCTTATCACATGAAGTAGTCGGTTTTCCATTAGGTGGCAGTTGGTTGAAAACCGGTCCATTCAGTCGGTAGTTAGGATTTTCAGGGTCCGTTGATCAATGACCTCTCGAATACGTAGCGGCATATATGTTGCTGAGTTACGTTGCAGCTCGATATTGTGGAAAGGTTGATCTAACATTTGTCTCTCGGTTAAGTTTCCACGTTTAAGAATAGCATTCTTCAAAGTTTCGTAAAATTCCGAAACACCACTAGTAAGCTTATTAGGTGTGACGCATCTGTTAAAATCACGCGGTAGTGCCTTCGTCACAGGGAGGAATTGTGCACGTGGGTCTGTCACGCCATGCTCGCCGAAATCAGCTTCTGCGTCAAAGAGTCGGGCTTTCATATCGTCGGACCACAATGGCATGAATTGAAACGTGGGGGGCGGAATAGTCTTTATCCTAAAAAGCTTAGGTGCCCATTCGTCATAATCAAGGTATAATATACCGATGGGAGAGAAACAAATAAACAAGAATATGAAAGCAATATCACAATATGTAAAAATGAGATAAAAAAA